TCCTCCAAACTCTGGGAAGACCCCAACTCCCCAGCTGTGGATAGGATTTATGATTAGAGGATTGAGTTGTGTCCCCCAAACCCAAGTCCACCGTGAACTTCGGAACGTGGCCTTATATGGAAATAGGGCCCTTGCAGATGTAATTAGTTACAGTAAGATGAGGTCATACTGGATTAAGGTGGACCCTAAATCCCACAATGGCTGGCGCTCTTATCAGAAAGCCATGTTGGGCAGCGGTGGCTCACACCTGTAATTCCAGCACTTTGGGAGGCTAAGGCGGGAGGATTGCTTGAGACCAGGAGTTTGAGACCAGCCTAGCCAACATCGTGAGGCCCTATCTCTACCAAAGAAAGAAAAACTTAACTGAGCATGGTGGTGTACACCTGTAGTCTATAGTCCCACCTACTCAGGAGGCTGAGGCAGGAGACTTGCTTGAGCCCAGGAGTTCGAGGTTACTGTGACCCATGATCTCCAGCCTGGGTGACAGAGTGAGACCTTGTCTCTAAAAAAAGGAAAGAAAGCCACGTGGTGTTGGCGGCAGAGTGGGGCAGTGCACCTGCAGCCCAAGAAATGCCGAGGGTTCCAGGAGCCGGCAGAGCTGGAATAGGCAGGAAAGGACTTTTCAGGAGTCTTTGTGGGGAGCGCAGGCCTGCCACCCAGTTTGGGGCTCTCTGTTATGACAGCCCCAGGACACTGACACAGGGTGGGGAGAACACACCTTTCGTTTGCCTGATGCCCCAAGGAAAATGTCCCTGCCACATCTGAGGCACCGCAGGACTAACCGCGGGGCCGAAACTCCTGGGAAAACTCCATTCCCAGGGAGCAGAGGAGACAGGAAACAACCGGGGCCTTTGGCGGTTGATGGGCGGGAGGTCGAAATGCAAGCGTTTCATCCTGCTGCACCCGGGGCGGGGGTGGAGGGGGCTCCGTGACTCACGCTACCCGTTATTAAAGATCCCAGATAAATGCCGCTCTGTGGTCACCTCTTCCCCATGGGTGACTGGGGTGGGACTCCTTTAAACTTGGTCTTAAATGTGAACGTGAAAGAGATGAGATGTTTTATCAGCCGCACTGAGCCTGCAGCTGGCGGGGCTGGGGAGGAGGGGGCAGTTTCTTGTTAACTTCCTCATTTTTTGTTTTTTAACTATTCAACCCTTGATGTTAAAAAAAAAAAAAAAGAATGTTTAAATGCACACAGTAGCTGTGTAGGGAGCAGGTGAGGGAGACCATCCAGCTCCCCTGGCCATCCCCACCCGGCCGTCGCCGTGGGAGGGGCCAGAGGTGTGGCCACAGCAGGGTCCTCCTGGCCCAACCACAGAACGAGCCCTGCTGATGGGACCTCCCCTTCCCTCTCCTCTCAGCAGGACGGCGTTCCCCCCACCCCCCTAGCCTCGGCCTTGAACGCAGGTCCTCCTGCATACCTGGCTGGGGGCTCTCAGGGACCCTCACCTCACAGCCACATCCCTGCACTGTCTAGTTGACCCCTCCTCCAGGAAGGCCACAGGCCTTCGCTCTGAGACACTGCTCCATTGGGGCAGCCCCCAACCCTTCAACATCTGCTCTTAGAAGCCGCTTTAAAACCTCTGCTCCAGGCCTTGGGCCCCCAGGGCTTGGTTCTGTGTCTTGCAGGAGTTGCTGGCTTGACCCCAGCTCACCTGCCTTCCCAGGCCCTCGGGGGACACTGCAGTGGCATTCTGTGGACACAGACCCGAGCTCTTGACTGGGGGTGGTCAGCTTCTGATTAATCACAGCGGGAACTGGCTGCTTCATTTCAACAACAGCAGGTACCACAAAGAGCCCAGAAGGACGTTGCAGGCCGCAGTCGGCCGGCCGTGCTTGGCGCCGTAAAAGCCGACAGTCGCGTGTCTGGGACTCGGTTCTTTCTCCCTCACTTGGACACACCCGCCAAGAGAGACCATTGGGGGTGACGTTTTCATTTCACCCCCCAAAAGAAACCCCATACCTTTTACCTATCACTCCCCACCCCCTGGCAACCAATAATCTACTTTCTCTCTGAATTCACCTATCCTGGGTATTTCATAAAAATGCAATCATACGATGCTGTCTTTCGTGAGTGGCTTTTTCACTTAGCATTATGTTTTCAAGGTTCCTCCGTGCTATAGCATGTTATCAATACTTTCTTCTTTTTTATGGCTGAATACTGTGTCATTTTACAGACATACCACATTTGTTTATCCATTCGTCAGTTGATGGGCATTTGGGTTCTTTCCACTTTTTGGCTATTGCGAGTAACGCTACGATGGACGTTTGTGTTGAGGTCTTTGTGTGGGTGTACGTCTTTGCTTCCTTGGGAACATACCTGGCCGGTGGGCTTGCTGGGCCGTGTGGTGAGGCGGATGACATTTTACACCGTGGTGACTAAGAGTCTTGTGAATCTCACTCCACTCGGTGCTGCGTACAGCACGCCATCTGGCGAGGAGCAGCCCTGGGGGACAGTAAGGCGCCAGCCCTCCGGGGACCCTCGGGCTTGCCAGGGCACAGAGGAGACATGTGAAGACGAAGGGAGGACTTGTGCTTCTCGCCAGGCCAGCACGCGTAGCATCCCTCGGAGCTCTTGGCAAAAACACACCCTCCCGGGCCTGGACCCAGAGCTGCCGATTCCGTAGGTCCGGGTGGGGCCCATGACTCTGCATTTGCAGCACGGTCCCTGGTGTCCCGATCAGATGCTGAGCGGCCCTGCCCTGGACAGTGACCACCGAGAGAGCAGGTGCCTCGGCACCAGGTACACGGTAGGCGCTCGGTGCTCTTTGAACAAATAAATGTGTCCCTTTTATTATCAGGGCAGGGGGTGATGGTTAAAGATTCCGTGAAATAGTCTGAGCAAGCTCCATTTTGGCTCCAGCTCTGCGTATTTAGGGGAGGTTGGATGCTGTGTTCACGACGCATAAACAGTCCAGGAGGAGAGAGAGCTGTGTGGTGCGAAAACTTCCCTGAGCCCCAGGAAGGGGCCAAAGGCAGAATCCTTGCTGTCTGGGGCTTCCTTGGCAGGCCCGTGAGCTTTCAAAGGCCAGAGCCTGTTGTCCTTGAGTCCCGGGGTCCAGCCTCAAGGAGGGACTCAGCTGGCTCCTGAGGTCAGCACTGCAGCTGCCCGCCCAAGGGTTGGGGAGGGCTCGGCCTGCCCGGAGCGCAGGGACCCAGGCCGGCCAGCCCTGCGGCTTCCGTGAGCAGCTGCAGGAGGGCAGAGCCCGGCCCGCAGGTGGTGCTGAGAGGCCCTCGCTGGCCCCTGCAGGTGGCACCCGTGAACTGTGAGGGTGTCCCTGGCAAAGGCACCAGCTCTGCCCTCCCAGACCTCTGTCCCCAGATCCAGGTTCCACCCTCAGGACTGCCTCCTGCCCCCCAAGTCAGGTCCAGGCTCATGGGGAGAGTGCAAGGGCCACGTTGACCCACGGGGGAAGGTATTCGGGGGGTGGGGGGCCTCTCACCCTTGGGCCCGCTGCTGACTCCCACATTGGAAAGCCATTCCTTCATGTTGCAAGATCATAGAATATGTATCATTTCAAGCTGGGCACAGTGGCTCACGCCTGTAATCCTGCCACTTTGGGAGGCTGAGGTCAGAGGATCACTTGAGGCCTGGAGTTCAAGACCAGCCTGGGCAACATAGTGAGATCCAGTCTCTAAAAAAAAAAAATCTAGCCAGGTGTGGTGATGCACACCTGTAGTCCCAGCCACTCTTCCAGCCTGAAGCCGGAGGAGCACATGTGCCCAGGAGTTCGAAACTGCAGTGAGCTGTGATCACACCACTGCACACCAGCCTGGGTGACATAGTGAGCCCCTATCTCAAAAAAAAAAAAAAGAAAAGAAAAGAATATATACCACTTGTGAGCACATACTGAGATACCCCAAGGACCAGACCCAGGTCTGAGCACTTGGCACCTGCTCTCTGGCCTCCACCTCTATCCACTGGCAGAGCCTCTTCCAGATCTGCATTTTGCATGTGGGAGTAGCGAGGCCCAGAGGGACTGCCCAGCCCGTGAGCAGGAGACTGGACAAGAACAAGGTTTATTCTTAACTTTTACCTTCTGTGTCAAAAGGCAGGGCCGAGGCCCCGTGCAGTATGAACGTCTCAGGTGGATGCTTTTCTGAGTCCCATCAGGAGCAGAGGCTGTCAGGAGCAGACAGCCAGTGGGTGTGAAGGATGAGCTAGGAGGAATGGTGCTGAAGGTCCAGCCAGTGGGTGTGAAGGATGAGCTGGGAGGAATGGTGCAGCTCCTTGGGTCACACCTTCATTTTGTCAGTGGAGGCCCAGAGGCTCAGAGAGGGCAGGATTCCCGCCTAAGATCACACAGCGGATGAGCAGCAGAACGGCAGCTAGACTCCCAACACCTGCTCTGCCTACCCTATTCTTCCTTCTAGGCTTCTCCTGGCAAGACAAGAGGGGACCTAGGAGGCAGCTTTGGTCAGGGCCCACCCAGCAGGGTGTGAGGAGGATGCTTGGGGTCAGAGAGCAAAGCCAGCCCCTCCAGAGGCTGAGGAGGATGGGGCACAGTGGGAGAGGAGGTTCATTCATTCAGTCATTCACTCCTCCATTGCAGGATATTTATTGAGTGCCTGCTATAAGCTAAGGACTGTTCAGAGGTTTCTTTCCTTGGGCCATCTGTGTCATTCTCATCAAGACAGAGTGGTCTCCTCTGCACATTTCTGGTGTTCTGGATTCTCCTGTGCCAAGCTCTGGAGGATGCTCCACTCTCCTGGCCAGGAACCAGGAGCAGGTGCAGCCGGACACTCGCTCCAGGCGGCTCTGGCGGGAGCCGGCACCTCCTCGCTGGGAGCCGCTGCCGCAAGCTCCCCTGTCCAGCCTGCGGCGTCCACCCCGGCTGCAGTGCCTTCCCCGGCCTCGGGCTGGTCCTGGCCCAGCGGCTGTCAGCCTGGAGCAGCCAGTGACGCCTCGGGGGACAGCCAGGGCGGGAGGCTGGTGCATCCTTCTTCATTAATAATGAATGGCCGGACGCTGCCTGTGCCTCGCCCTGGTCGCCTAATTGCCTTGGTGGGAGCCGCAGCAGCCCGCGGCGTGCAGAGCGGGAGAGGTTGCAAAAGCAGCTGCTCCCCAGACCCCCTGAGCCGCTGCCCCAGGAGAGTCACAGCGGCCCTGCTCAGCCCCCAGGCCGCTGCCAGGGCTCAGCAAGCAAGGACGAGGACGCCCCGGAGGGAGCCCTCCCTTCTCCCGGCAAAGGAAGCCATCGCACTCATCGGGAATAGCTCGCCGCCCAGCCCTGCCGAGCACTTTTGGAGACTGCTGGGCTGGGAACCTGAGCAGCCAGAGCTGGACCAGGGTGCGGACACAGGAAGGACCTGCAGAGACAACAGAGATGTGAGAGGGGAGGGAAATGCTCCCCCTCGCCCCCAACTTTCGACTCCTCTTTGAGAAGGTCTTTCCTGGCACAGTCCTGGACGTCTGACTTTTTTCCCTTGGAGATCGCACGAGCTTTTCCTCCTCGCTGCCTTCGGAAATCCTCCCTCCGGAAGGAACACCTCGCAGCTTCCGCGCTTTCTGGGATAAGGTCTTGTCCCGGGGGAGAGAGTGTCTAGGGGACAGGTGAATCTGAGCCCAGGAGGCGGGGGCCAGCATGCAGGTGTCCTTCGTGTGCTCGGAGCACAGCCTCAAGGGCCGGGGCCCCGAGGAGCGGCTGGGCCGGCCGGCGGCCAGCAGCCCCAGCCTGGGTTCCCGTGGCCGCTTCCGTGCCGTGGCCATGGTGGCCCGGAGCCTGGGACAGCTGTCGGTGCAGAGCCTCCCGTGCACCGGGGACGCCAGTGTGAAGCCGCACGGGATGAAATATAGGTACGAGGGGCAGATGGCTTTGTAGGGTGGGGGCTGCCCTCCTCTCCTGCCCACCTTCGGCAGCCCAGACAGTCTGCGAGTCCCTGTTTGTCAGACTTGGCAGTTCGTGGTGAGAGCCCTGGAGGGGCTGTAGCCTTGATGAGAGAGAACGCTGGGGAAGGAGGCCCTGCCCCCACGCCGGTCCTGTGCACCCTCCCCACGTGCGGTCACAGCACCTGGAGCCAGGTGGGGGGCTGAGCCCAAATGCAGCCCAAATGCAGGCTTTGGTTTTGGAGAGGTTTAAGCTACACACTTGGGTTACTAGCATGGACTCTCAGTGTCTTCTCGTTGGCACCAATACCAGCCAGGAACCCAGGCCACTCTCCTCAAATACAACTAGAACTGTCTGTGGCTAGTTGGACCCCATGTAGAAACCATGTCACCTGAGCCGCTGCCTCCCGGAGATGAGTCTGGAATCGTTCCGGGGGTCCCGCTTCTGTGCTCAGATCCCCTCCTTCCTTGGGGAAGTGTAATACTCTTTAATGACCCTCTGGGGTAAAAGCTTTTGGTCCCACCCACTAAGCTCAGTGAGGACAAAGCAGAATGAAATGCGCTGCTCTCGGAGTTCTGGGAGTTTATATCTTTTGTTAAGTAAGCATCAAAAGCTATAAACAGGAGATACACACACACACACACACACACACACACACACACAGGCTGTCTGGAAAGTACCCTGTAACTGTTCTTATTGTATTAACAATGGCTGGATACTCTCCAGACAGCCTTCATGGTTTTTTTTATTATTATTATTTAAATACCTGTTACCTGCTGTAACTTTTAAGTCAACCCTAGGATCATCCAAGGAGTTAATAAAAGTAAGACTATTTCTAAACATATAAAGCACTATGTACAGGGAAATCATGGCTATTAACATGGTTTCCCTCCTAAGACCCACCAGGGAGTAGTTCTCAAAGAGCATGAGCATTCATGGTGACCATATGTGTGCCTGTGTGTGCATGTACACATGTGCACATATACACGTGCACGCCAGAGGCAGGGAGGGTGAGCCAGCCAGTTAAGGGCAGTGTTCACTGGGCGGTGGGTTTGCAGCCTAAGGACCAGGGTTCAAATCCCAGCCGCAGCACTTCCTGACTGCAGGCGCCCACCTGTCTGATGGAGGAGCACACAGAGCTGTACACCTGGCAAGGCCTGGGGAGATTTCCTTGGTGCCGTCGGGGGAGGGAGGCAGGTTCGTATCTCTGTAGGGTGATGCGTGGTTTCTTAGCGACTGAAACGGGACTCGGAGCCCAAAGCGTGACCCATCAGGCACCCGTGCAGAGCACCTGTCCCATCCTGCCTCATGGGGGAGAGGGGCCTGTCACAAGTTGCTCCACTGTGACTGTCCCAGGGCCACACCTGGGGTGCAGGGTGGGGGCTGCAGGGACTGAGGATAGGACCTGATCCAACCTCCCCCCAACTCCGACCACCTCTCTAGGAAGCTGGCCCTCCCCAGCGGCATGCTCCAGGCACAGCTGCCAGTGACATGGCACAGCCTGCAGGTGCCATGCTCCTGCCAGAGGCCAGGAAGGTGCTCAGTGCAGGGGAGGGGGTACCAAGCCTGATAGGCGAGCCAGGAGCCACTGACCAGTCCCAGGGGTTCTGCCCCCAGGGCCTGTGCTTCTCACCCCCAAATTATACCCCAGCATCGTCCCAAAACAACACTGCTGGGACCCTGCCACTACCAGCTCCAGGTAGAAGATAAAGACATGGAAGCCCAGGCCGTCCTTAGGGAGCCTGGAGTCTGGGGGCTGGGTGGGCAGCTGCTCTGGGCGCCACATTATAGCAGACGGGCAGCAAGACGCTACCAGGACACGTCTGTGTCCCTCACTCCGCAGACCAGCTAACGACGGGGATGGTGCCTCCTTTCACCTGACCAAATTTTGTCCCCAGCCCAGAGGGCTGGAAGGACGGCCCCTGAACGCCTCTTTTTAGAAGGGTCCGGAATTTCCTGGAGCCTCCCAGCTCTGGCTTCACAGAGCCCGAAGTGCAGTGTTGAGGGGTGTGACGTGCTCAGCAGCTGTGTGGCGGGCATCAGCGCTTCCTGCTGGCAAAGGTTACGTCTGTGTCCTCATTAGCCGTTTCCCTAGACCATGAGAGACACGAGGCAAATTAATGAAGCCAACAGTATTTGGGTTTAGAGATTTGGACCAGCGATTTTTACCATTTTGTCAGGTTTTAATGAGGGGTAGGACATCTGTAGGAAATGATTTCGTGTCTGGACAGTCTCGAGCGGCCACGTGTCAGCAGCCCCCGCCAGACCCACCGAAATGCGCGCCGTGCCCCACCCCGCCGAGCAGCCGTCTTTGCAGAGCTTTCTGCCCGGAGGAGCCCTGTCCCTTCTCATTCCTTCTCCCGAGGCCTGGCAGCGGATGGCAGATCCAATACCGTCATTTTAACAGGGAAGCGAGTTGAGCAGGGCAATTGCAGCATCTCGTGTGTCCTAGTTTTGTTAAATCATTCCTATGGGTGGTGGGTGGGAAGGCGGCTGCAGAGCCAGGCACCCCGGGTCCCTGCCCCGGCACAGGACGTAACTCGGAGCCCGTCCGGGGAAGCGGGTCCGTTTCATGCCAGTCAAACCGGGGACAGACAAGGATCAGGAGTAGGAGCCACTCTGGCCAACCCTGCACAAACTGGCGGGAAAAGGTGTCTTTGCTCTTTAGCCTCGGGCGTGGGCAGGCGCAGCCCCTGGTTGGGCGTCCTCACCTGTCAGCTGCTGAACTGCTCCATCCCGCTGAGCGTGCAGCACCTTGTGGCATTCAGTTCCGCGCTGATAAAAGGGACATTTTCAGGTTAAGCCTAAAACCTGGCCTTCCACAGAGCCTGGTCAGGACGTTGCTCCGACCATGGGCCCTTGTGGAAGTGGTTTGCAGAGGTGGGGCCTGCCTCCCTTCTGGGCACCTGCTGGGGTCTGGGGTCTGCTAATGCCTAGACATTGCAAAGTCCCGAGGGTATTCACGTCTCTGCACATTTCCAGGGAAGGGGCCTTGGTCAGTTCTCCAAGGGATCGATGGATGACCCAGCACCGCTGGAAGCCACTGATTAGAACCTTCGGTCCTCTTGCTGCATGACTGGACCCCTCCTAAGCAACGTGCAATTTCTCCCCGCAGTTTCTTCCTAGCTAGCCTAGGAGAACCACCTGAACCACTGAGCAGACCTGGCTTACGCAGCACCTATAAGTAACATGTTGGCTTTTTCTGTCCAGCAGCCAGACACGTCGCTCTGAGCTGCAGCACGTGAACGATACTGAGGGTACCGTTAGATTATCTCACTGATGTGTAAGGGGAGGGAGAGAAACAAAAGGAAACTTCCATTCCCTTCTGGCACGGTAGTAGTTGGAGCCTGTTCAGTGTGTCCACTGTTGTTGCTGTATAAGGAAGTGTCCACCCTGGCACGCCCCGTGCTGTGTCTCCCTTGGCCGCCCTGCCCCCTTAACAAGCCACCTGTGAGTCAGTGTCCTGTGACCTATGCCCTGGGAACTTGCATCATTTTGCTTAATCCTCTTGGCAACCCCCATGAGAAAGGCAGCATCGTGAGCCCATTCTGCAAATGAGAACATGGAGGCGTCAGGCACTTACACAGAATGCCAGGGTCATCTGGCCAGGGATGTTGAACCAGGATCTGAGCTCTGGCTTCAGAGCCTCTGCCCATAGCCAAGGCCTGAGCCTCCCCTTCCCGAAAGGGAAGCCAGCTGCTCGTGTGTCCCCCCCTTAGGGGATCCCAGCCACGCCGCAGGAGCAGGAGGCTGGCGGCTGGACTGGTTTTAAGGGGAAATTTCAAAATAAACCTAGATCATTTAAAACTACCTTCAATTTGGTGACACATTCAGCTGTTTTCAAACCGCTTACAAGTACTGTATTCACTCGTGATATAGGTGAGGGCCAGGGGTCTGGTAACCAGGGAAACTGAGGCTGTGGAGGGTCAGAGTGGGCCCATGTCAGGGTAGTGGTCAGTCAGGCTCCAGCCCTATGGCACCCTCCCGGGGCCAGGCTCGGACAGGAAAGGGAGTAAACTGAGGACGCGGCGTCGGCTGCGGTTAGGAGGGTGGCGGCCCCGGGAAACGCCAGGGCCCTTGGACGGAGAGCTGGCTTCTCCCCGTGGCAGATCCCGCAAGGGAAGTGGAGTCCGCGCCCCCCCCCCCACCGTGGGTCAGAGCTTGGCTGTGGCTGTGAGACTCACCCAGCAGCCACTTGTCAACTGCACCATCTGGGCAGATCATGCCCTGGGTCCCCCTAAACAGGACGGGGTGGGGTGCCACCTCCGTGAGGCATGTGAGTGGGAGCCAGCTACCTGGCTGGGACCCCAGCTCCTCCACGACGTGTACTCACACGACACGCAAGGCCGTGACAAGTGCGGGGGCGTCTGTGACGAATGCCTGCGGCCTGGCGCCTCGTGTCGCACCGACAGGGGCGCCGGTCCCTCAACACCTCCAGGATGCTGACGACGGCCTGAGCCCTTGCTGGGACTCTGGAGCGCCGTTGGAACCCCTCAGTGCCCTGTGACGGAGCCTGTCCCTTGTCCTTGCCATCTGTCCTGTTGCCTCACCCTGAGGGCCCTACCAGCACGTGGCCTTGCCCTGGGTGGCCAGGGACCACAGGCGCGCCTCCAGCGCGGGCAGCACTCCTCTCGCAGTCCGTCCTTTCGAGCTCGGACATCATACGACGGCGAGGGGAGCGGGAGGGCTGGCTGGTGGGCTGCCTGGCGCTGCCGGATACGAGCCGTGTTTCTTCGACGGACCTGGGCAACGTCCGCCTGCGGGCTCCTGCCTGGGGCTCTGATCGCGCGGCGGCGCCCCGCGGCCGCACCTGCGAAGAGGAAGCGGCTGCGGGAGGCCGATCGCATGATGAAGGGCCCCCCAGGACGCCGTGGGGCTCCCGACCCCTTGTCCCGCCCAGCGGGTAGCTGCACCCAGACCTAGGATTCCAGGCCCAGACTCGGTTGCCCAGGGCAACAAGCAGCGTCGCGAGAGGGGACACGGGTACAGCCTTGGCCAAGCAGGCGCGGGGAACAGGGAGGCCCTTTGCACACAAGCCCGGGCCCCAACTCACAGAATTGGAGAAGCTCCCGGCCCAGGTGTGCCGGGAAGACTTCCTTCCCGCCAAGGCCGGGCTCAGTTCCACAGGAGAGTGGCTCATGAAGGGCCGGGTTCTGTGCTCTCCCCTTTCTCTCCACTTGCAAGCTCTCCTCCCAGAACATACTGTTCTCCACCTCGGGGCCGCACAGTGTGCCCGCCCTGCCTGCCACCCCACCCGCCCGTCCTCGTCCCCGCAGGAGCACAAGGACGAGGCTGCCAGGCCTTGTGTGTTTTCGGGGCGCCGTCCCCCGTGCCGTCCCCTGCAGCACGTCCCTGCAGTAGGAGCCGCATCGGCACGAGTCACGACGAGCCTCTGGGGCCTGCAGCCGGCTGCCTGCTCTGGAGCCTCTTGTCCCCTCACTCTGGTGGCCCCAAGAGAGCAAGTCTTGCCCTGAAGGCCAAGTGTCCCCACACACCGAGGACACAGTGTGGCCACCTGTGGCTGGCCCTGGGCCCTGCAGCCCGAGGCCCGGCACCCACTGGGGGAGTCTGGCCCCCTGGCGGGTTCTCTGACTTGCACCTGTGTGTCTTGCTTCCAGGAACCTGGGTGACCTTTGGAGGCCAGATCACCGATGAGGTAAGACGGGGCTCCCTCGACACCCCAGCCCCCCGGGAGGGCTGCCCCGGGCACGTGGTTAAGTCTGCTGCCTAAAAGTGAGCGTGCGCAGCTGGGAGCCGGCGTGGCAGCCCCTCCTTCTGTGTTGTGCAGGGCCCTGCCCCTGTGGGACACCAGAAAGCTGGGTGGCAGTGGCCAGAGAAGATGCCAGGTCGGGTGCCCCCAACTCGGAGCTGGGTGGTGTCTTGGGGCCTCAGCAAGTCCTTAAAGCTCCCTGGAGCTCAGATCACTCACACGGTGACGCCGACCCCAGTGCTGAGCAGACTGCGGAGCACACGCTCTGCAAACTATACAGCCAGTGCAGACCCCAGCTGCCTGCGGACTCACCCGCGTGAGTTTGAGCCTCAGCACATACCTGCTGGGGTCGTTTAGAAGCAGCTTCTGCAGCTTTCCTGCAAGCTGGAGAATCCGAGTAGATTTACATCTCACCGAGCTCCTGACTGTATGTTTCCCGCGTGAGTCGTGCCCATCGCAGTCGGGGCTTCTGGCAGTCGGGGTACAGGGGTGAGCACCGAGGAACGCCTCTGGGTCTGGAAAGGGGAGGGGTGGCGTGTTCCCAGACCAGGGTGCCCTCTGGACAGCCAGGCTGTGTCTCGGAAATGAGAGCAGTGGCGTCTGCTCCCAGAGCCCTGGGCATCTGCGCAAGAAGCGATTTCCACGCTCGCCCTACTTACTGTGGGAAAGGTCGCATTTAAAAATTAATAAGTGCGTTGACTCGAGACCTCATTAGCTGTGATTGCTTAGTTCGTTTTCCAAGGAAAAGCTTTGCTTCTATCAAAATGTAAATGCACGCGGTTTGCGTTTAGGGTCGTTTTTATTTTTGAGACGGTAGCAGGTCACAGAACCCTCTTGCCCTCGCTTCGGGGTTTCTGGGTGTGGGCTATCTCAGGGTAAAGTCGGGAGATTTTAAGGCGAAGGGAATGGCCGTCCCTAAGCCCACCACACTGGTTCAGTCGGACCTGCAGGGCCCACGTGGTTCTCTCCAAGGCTGCCTGACTCGGCCTTGCTCTCCTCTCAGTGTGGTGGCTGAAGCAGCGGGTGGGAGAATGCCGTAGAGGAGTGTGACTGCATTTCCAAACAGCATCAGCCTCATGGCACGCGATGTCCATATGGGAAAGACACAAAGACGGGCAGCACCAGCCAACTGGGTGACTCTCTCACCACCAGCTCAGTCACACCCCGGGATCCAGCAGCAGCCCCAGCGGGCCCTGGCTCTCAGCACCTCCGTGAGGAGCATAGTGACAGGCACGAGGGTGTTGGAGGTCATTTCTAGATGCCACCAAGCTGGGGGACACAGGACACAATAGACGAAGAGTCAAAGTTCTAGATGGTTGTGGCAGGTGGAAAATGGCCGAGAGAGGGGGCAAGAATTTTTGCATTAAATCGTACAGTTAGTGTCAAAAACAGATCAATTCATCAGCTGTGCCAGGCCCCCGGGTTGCAGCCCGGATGAAGAACATGAGGGTTTTATCCCTTAGTGGCTGCCTGCTCCGTCTGAGCCAGCGAGGGAGCAAGAACCATCCTGAGCTGCTTTTTTTAATTTTTTCTTTTCTTTTTTTTTTTTGAGACAGAGTCTTACTTTGTTGTCCAGGCTAGAGTGAGTGCCGTGGCTTCAGCCTAGCTCACAGCAACCTCAAACTCCTGGGCTCAAGCCATCCTCCTGCCTCAGCCTCCCGAGTAGCTGGGACTACAGGCATGCGCCACCATGCCCGGCTAATTTTTTCTATATATATTAGTTGGCCAATTAATTTCTTTCTATTTTTAGTAGAGACGGGGTCTCGCTCAGGCTGGTTTCGAACTCCTGACCTCGAGCAATCGGCCTCCTCGGCCTCCCAGAGTGCTAGGATTACAGGCGTGAGCCACCGCGCCCGGCCTATTTTTAAAATTTTTATTAAATATCTGAAACAGAAAATCTACCGTTTTGACCATTTTTAAGTGTGCAGTTCGGTGGCATTAAGTACATTCATGTTGCTGTACAACCATCGCCGCTATCTATTTCCAAAATTTGTCATCACCCCAAACGGAAGCTCTCTGCCCTTAAGCAGTAACTCCCCAGCCCTTCTGACCTACTGCCCGTCTGTGGATTCTGCAGCCTAGTTTTGCGAGTAAAGTTTTATTGGCACACGGCCGCGCCCCTCCGTCCGCTCCTCGTCCGTGGCTGGTCTCACCCCGCGAGGGCAGAGCTGAGTGACGGCAGCGGAGACCCCGGCCCACACAGCCTGAGTATTTGCTACAGGCCCTTCGCAGGAAAAGGTTGGTGTCCCCGTTCTGTGGGGTCTCGGCAGCTGTCTGCGCCTGCAGGGCTGCCTCGCAGGCAGAAGCTCGGCCTTGATCTGTGCCACCCCGGGGACAAACGGAGCCTGCCCAGGAGTGGGACGGACTTCCCGGTGGGGCAGGAGTGGCAGCCAGCCTCACATGGCAGGGCGCAGAGTCCCCAGTTTGCAGGGTGCCATCGCTCACGAGGAGTCGAGGAGGGAGGCGGGCAGTGTCGGTAAACCTAAGATCACGCGGCCGCGTGCGGGAGCTGTCGCGGTCAGGGTCCGGTTTCCAGCCGTCCCGTCAGGCGCCCTCTCTGTGACCGGACCCTGCAGCACGGGTAGGACACTCGCTGTGGGAAGCATGTGCTCAAGACAGGCTGGGCAATAAACACCTAATAGGAGTAGTGGCTGAGAGCCTTCCATTTATCACCTCAGTTAGTCTTCTGTCAACCTGGGAGGTGGGTGGTATCGCCATTTCAGGGAAGCTGAGCCTCCGGGGTGTAAGCAGGTGCCAGAGGTCACGGGGGTGGTAAAGGGGGCTCCCCACCAAGCCCCTGGCCAGCTCTGAGCCCTGGGGTGGCCATCCTGGGGTGGGCATGGAGTCCTTGTCCCTGGGATGGGGGTGACAGGGAGGTGGCCAGTATGTCGCCTAAGGTTCCTTCTGACTTTAATTTCTGGTACGCTGACACTGGAAAGAGCCAAAAAGTGATACAGTAAAGGCTCCATGAAATGGACTAGGACGCCCCCCATGAGCACAGGTCTTCAGAGGTTGTGTTTTGAAGAACAACACGAGAGAGAGCAGGTGGAGGACACAGAGCACACATGTCTAGGCACATAGACATACGTCAGAGTTGCAGTTTACAGGAAACAGCATGCATGCACACGGAAAGCTTGCAGGAGGAATTACTCCAACATCTTAGCCATAAAAAATATTACTAAGAAAGCACAGCCCTAAAAATCCCCGACTGCCTCATTCTCTGTCTTGTCTCCAGCCATCCACGGTGCCCCCCTGGGTGTAACTGGAATTGTACGTATGTCTCCCCTTGTGCCCGGGGACAGGCGAGGTTGTGACTGTCATCCTGTGTGTCACGGTGCTAATCCTGCTGCCGGGCGAGCCTTCAGGGGTCTGTGGTGGCCATAGGTTTCTGCGGATTTCCCGGGCTTCCCTCCTCCGTGGAGGGAAACAGGTGTGTTCGGGGGCTGAGACCTTCGTCCGTAGTCTGTCGGGCAGCGAGGGGGGGGAAGCGGCCGATCCAGAGGCCGCCAGAGCCAGCTGGAAGGGGTCGCCACCAGACTCGTGCTTGCTGACACCTGCCGAGTGCCCGCTTTCTGCCGCTTTCAGGTCACTGTCTTTCTAGCAGGGGGACCACCAGGGAGGAAGTGGGCATGTCACTATCTCCGATGGTTAAACGAGCCATGGAGAGTACATGAGCTTCCTGTGGCTGCCGTAACAACTAGCCACCAGCAGAGTGGCTTCAAACAACAGGAATGTGTTCTCCCACAGCTCTTGGGGCCAGAAGCCAAAATCAGAATCTCTGAGCCTAAATCGGGGTGTCTTCAGGGCACGCTCCCTCTGGGGGCTCTAGGGCAGAATCCTTCCTGCCTCTGCCTCTTCTAGGGGCTGCTGGCGTTCCTTGGCTTGTGGATGCCTCACTCCCATCTCTGGCCCCGTGGTCACACTCCCTTCTCCTCCTCTGTCTGTATGGAATCTCCGTCTGCCTCTGCTAGGGTCACCTGTGCTGGCATTCAGGGCCCACTTAGGTAATCCTGGGCAATCTCCCCATCTCAAGATGCTTAATTCAATTCCACCTGCAAAGTCCCTTTTACTAGCTAAGGTGAGGTTCACAGGTTCCAGGGACTTGATACATTTGGGGGGGAGGGCATTATTGAGTTGACCACAGAGAACAGGACAATGGAGCAGAGAGAAGGGAGGGCTGGGCTGTGGGCTCCTGTCACTACAGGGCAGCCAGGAGGCGGGTGGGAGAGTGAGCCGTGGGCTGCTGCAGGAGAGGAGCATTCCAAGGGGCCAAGGGGACGGCAAAGGTGGAGCCCTAGGGCTGAGTATTGGGGGATGACAGGGTTCAGGAGATAGGGTCAGGGGTCAGGGTACAGATCTGGCAGGGACTTTGGCTTTGATCATCTGTGGGATGATCATCTGCTAAAACGGGAGGGTTTTAGCAGAGAGGTAATTCGACCCGCCTTAAGGATTTCAAAGGCTCCTCTGGCTGCTGCGCCAGGAATAGCCAGTTGAGTGGGGCTTGTCAAAGTTTAATGCCTGCACGAGTGCCCTGGGGACCTGCTTAAAATGCAGACCCTGGCTGGCAGGTCTGGGTGGAGCCGGGCAGCCCGCATTCCTGGCGCTGAGGCTGCTGGTGATGGACCGGGCTCTGCCTGGAGAGGGCAGGGGCAGGGGCGGGAGCAGGGAGAGTTAGGAGGCCACTGCAAGAAGCCAGCTGAGAGCGGCTGGGGGCTCGGAGCAGGGTGGGTGCAGTGGAGGTGGGCTGAGCAGTCAGAGCCGGAACCTGTGTGCGAGAGGGCGCTGACAGTGGTGGCTAAAGTCTTACCCTAGAGTGAAAGGTGAATCAAGGAGGCCACCAGGGGCCTTGACCCGAGCACAGGGTGGGCAGGTCATTGAGGAAGCAGACACTGCAGGCCGCCCTCCCCGCACACCCTCTGCCTGCAGCACCGCTTCCCCGCCCACTCTGCCCTTGCCTGCCCAGCAAACTCCTGAACACCCTTCAAAACCCAGCCCTGGAAATTCCCACGCACGCTACCACACACAGATGGACCTTGAGGACGTTATGTTCAGTGAAATGAGCCAATCACACTGTCATAGTGTGACTCCGCGTATAGAGGGTCCCTGGAGCAGTCAAATTCATAGAGATGAAAAAGTAGAACGGTGGGTGCCAGGGGCCAGGAGGAGGGAGTGGGGAGTTAGTGTTTGATGGGGACAGAGTTTCTGTTTTGGAAGATGAAGGCATTCCAGAGGTGAGTGGTGGTGAGGGTTGCACTCCATGTAAATGTGCTTTCTTGTTATGTGTATTTTACCATAGCTTTAAAAATTTTTTTAATAAATACAGTAAATTTATTTAATGTAAAAAAAAAAAAGAAATTGAAAGAGATCTCCATAAGCTGGCATGGATCAGTTTCCAGAATGTATTATAAGCAAAAAAAAAAAAAATCAAAGTGTAAAAGAATATCTATAGCATGCTACCCTTCATGTAAAAAAGGTGGGGATACAAGAAAATACACATGTCTAAAATACAAAAACTAAAACAAAAACCCAGGCCCTGAGTCCGCTCGTCCCAGATGCACTGCAGGAGGGTACGTGCACCCTAGCTGTGGGCGTGGCCCCGAGTGGGCCACGTGGCCTCCTGGGCCCCACTCAGGCCCGGCTGGTGGGTCGAGTCCGGGGCCGACTCAGGACGGGCGGGATGAGGCCAGGAACAAGCCGTGCGTGCTGGAGCCTTGGCCGGGAAGAGGTTGCCGGGGTAGGGTGGGAGTATCAGGAGCAGGAGGCTCAGGGGCGGTGCGTTTGGGACCCCGCACTCGAGCTCCAGCCGGGCAGACAGCACTCAGCCCTGCGGTGGATCGGGAAAACCGATGGCCTTGTCTCCCCCTGGGCTTCCTGGCTCAAACCGCAGCAGCTGGCCAGTGGGGCTTAGCCCGGGCTGCGGCAGTTCCGGACTGTCGGGATTAGTGCTGACTGGGCTGGGAGATTCTCCGTAACCCACCCCCCAAAACTCCCTGGATTCCTGGCTTGTCTTTAAAAATCGGGGGATCTGGTAGCACCTGGCCCCCTTCCCAGCGGTCCCCACAGGACACTGTCCTCACTCCCCACACCTGCCTGGGCTCTGGGCCTCCCAGCTCAGCACCAGGGAAGGTAGGTGGGCGAGGCCGTGCCGGCTGCCCGGGTCCTGCGGTTCTGGAGGGTCAGATGCGGTTTTCACTCCGCCCTGGGCGTGCTGGGAAGGGAGGCCTAGTGCTCTGCGCTGAGCTTGCAGCAGTGTGACTCTTGGGGACAGCAGCGCCGTCCAGGGGGGCAGAGCATTCGGGGACGCCGCCTTCTCCTGCCTCTTGGTGGGAGCTGTCACGCCTGCCGATGGGCACCCCGCGCTCCTGGGCCCTCAGCCTTGAGACCAGTAGCTCCCTCTTGGCTGTTGGAGCGCAGCACGCCAGGTGGCAGCCCGGGGACAAGTCTGGCCCGTGGGCAGTGTTTATGGTAGCAGCCACCAGCACAGCGCCTGGCAGGGGGCTGGGGCCTGGGGCACTGGAGAGACGCGGGCAAGGCCAGACGGCCTCCACCCTGCCATGTGCGAGCTGCTCGGTCTACGCGGCGCGTCAGTTTCTCCGTCCGCAGAACACAGTTGCGGGGGCTCGGCGCGGCTTCTGTGAAGGACGAGGCACGGCACAGCCAAGCGCACGGCTGTGCCTTTGGTGGCTCTGCCAGGGTCTGTCCCGCCCCCACAGGGGCTGTGCTGGTTTCCTCGGGCCGCCGTAACTAAGGGCCACAACGTGGCTGGCTCACAGCAACAGAGATGTATTCTCTGACGGTGCTGGGGGCCAGAGGTCTGAGGTCAGGCCGTGAGCGGGGCCCGCTCCCCGAGGAGGCTCTGAGGGAGAAAGTCTCGTGCCTGTCCCCGGTGGCTGCCTACGGTCCTTGCCCCGCAGACACGTCACCCCAGCCTCTGCTGCCCTGTCACATGGACGTCTTCTCTGTGTCCGCGTCCTCTCTTCTTATGAGGCCATGTCCCTATAAGGGTTTAGGGTCAGACCCTAATGCAGTATGACCTCATCTCAGCTAATCCCATTTGCAACGGTCCTGGTTCCAAATAAGATCACATTCTGAGGTTCTGGGTGGACATGGATTCTGGGGGACACTAACCCAGGAAAGGGGCTAAGTCCTGTGAGGACCCCAGCCGATGGGGTTGCTGCCTTCAAGTTCACACTCCGTGGGCTGTTGCTTCATTTATTTTGCCTCCTTTGTTCCCCACGTGTCTGTTACTGAGAGCGCCTCCCTCCCGCCCTGCAGCAAGAGCGGGCACAGCGGAGCCTGTCAGGCCCCAGGTGCAGGGCCCGGCACCAGGGGGGCCTCCCAGGCCAAGAGGGGGAGCCTCTGGGCCCCCCAGCGGCAGGACAGCAGTGGTGCTCTCGTTTCAGATGGCGGAGCAGCTGATGACCTTGGCCTACGACAACGGCATCAACCTCTTCGATACGGCAGAAGTCTATGCGGCCGGCAAGTAGGTGTCTTTCCTCGTGGGCAAAGGGGGTGCAGAACCCCCAGGAAGGCCAGTGCTCCTGGTGTCCCCCCACTCGCATTCCCGAGAGGGCTGCCCAATGCACTTTCCATTCCTCTTCCTTTTTAGAACTCCGAAGGGCTTTGGGAGGTGTTGTTTGCCTGGGGCTTGAGTCTCAGACAGGTGGATGTCGGTCACTTGCTAAACTCCCCGTGTGCCCGAGCCCTGGGGTGACCAGAGTCCCCCTGGTGCCACAGATGCTGTACTGGGCAAGAGTGTGACGAAGCTGTTATCCCGGGTCCCTTTACGTGCTGGTGACCTGCAGCCAGCCCTCTGCGTCTGCCGTTGTCCCGTCTTACTGGTGCAGTTGGGGCCTCAGGGGCAGGTCCTGCCCGAGCACCGCAGGAAGCGCATCCTATCTTGGCAGTGAACTTTCCTTCTCAATTATGTAGAAGCTCAGCCCTCCTCAGCCAAGGCTGTTGGCTTCAATTTTAAAGACGGGCTATAATCAAATCATCCACTCTCCTGCATCAGGTTTCCAAAAGTCAGCTTTTGTTTGTGAAGTCATTTGTTGGCTCTCTCTCCGTCCTCCTTCTGGCCCCCTCCTGCCTGGGGCAAGCCAAGTTTCTGCCAGCTGGGCTGCTGCAGCCTGGCCCGCCGTGCACTGCAGCTGCAGGGCCAGCACCTGCTGCAGGGGGGCTCTGGGCTCTGACCTGCAGCCCACAGTGGGCCCAGAGTGCCACGCATCAGGGAACTAAGCTAGCCAGGCCTTTGCTCAAGTCCCAACCCGGAGCATGGGGAGCAGCCAGCCCAGGTGGCCTCTGCTGGGACCCCGAAGCCCTCCAGCCCGCTGCAGCAGCCCCTCTGCCTCTCCTGATGGCACTGCCTGCTGCCTCCACACTGGCAGCAGCTTCCTGCCCAAGTGGAATGCTTTCCAGAAAGGCAGATGAGCCACGCTGAAGGGTCAGAGATCAAAAAGCCCAGTGCACATGCTAAGCGTAGGAGCCACCAGCCTCTGTGCCCCGCTTCAGCCTGGGTTTGGCTGCCCGTGAGCATGTTGGGAGGCAGCTCTGTGCAGCCCCCATGGGCGGGGCCCAGCACCCTCTGTCATAGCAGCCACTCTGCGCTGTGTTGCTGTCTCTGAGTCCTGCTTAACTGGACACCAGAGCTGGTGTGCAAGGCAAGCAGCTGGCTCCTGGCCTCTTGGAAGCCAAGAACTCAGGGGGCAGCTTCCCCTTAGGTCACTGGTGCTGCGGGAGCCCCTGCCCTCTGCTCCTCCACCAGCCACTGCGGCCCCCACCCCGTCCTGCCCAGAGCTGAGCCTGCCTGAGCACCCCCATTGATGCCTCACCCCGCAGCCACCTCCTGGGGAAGCTGGGCACTGCCTGCAGGTCAGCAGGGAGAAGCTTCTCTGAGCATGGCTAGGGCTGCCCCCTCGATGACCAGGGTGGCCGGGGCATATCTTGCCAAGGCTTCTCCTGCTGGCAGTATTTGCACGCTTCCCAGAGAGCTGCAGGATTTCTGTGTCCTCTCTGGACAGGTGCAAGTCTTACCGAATTCACCGCCAGGGCCACAAGCAGCAGACTTTGGGTAACCTCCTGTCTGCGGCCCCTGCAGCCCCAGGGCCACTGCTGGCTCTTCCCTCTTCCTCCTCTCCTGGTCCTTTGTCCAACAGATCCAGGCCCAGGGAATGAAAGGAAGAGGCCCAGGGCTGAGTGGGTTTTCTGTGCATCTTGACCATAAACGAGGAACACTCAGAATGTGTGCTGAACAGCTTGCAAATCAGGGCCCATTATTTCTGAGTGGATGACTCAGGCGCTTTTATAATTGGAATGTAGCACAGGGTATGGATCATTCTCCGTCTGTTGTTTTCGCTCAGAAACATTTTGCTACAAGCAGAAAGTTTTTAAAAGTTTAATTCGGCACTGCGGTGCCAAGCAAGGCTGGCATGGCTCACCCGTGCCCCGGCTAGCCTGCGTTTGGTGCAGGACCCGGAGTGATGCCAAGCAGAGCAGCAGAGCATCTGTCTCTGCTATTCAAAAGCAGGAAACAGGAGGGACACTTGCGTGCGCACACACACACGTATGTACACACATACATGCACATACATGTATACATGCACACATGTGCTCTGCTGGAAACAGGATGGTCTGTTTATGGTCTGAAAACAGAGGATGTGCCTGATGAATAATTTACCTTTTAAAAAAGACACTTGTCTGGAAATTTCACCCACCTGACATTGCCAGGCATTTTCCCGGTGAATTCTCAGCCGCCCAGGGAGGCGGATGCTGGCCGTGCCATGCAGCACGCCCACGGCCACCCCCAGGCCTTGCCCCGTCTGGAAGGAGCTGCTGAGCCGGAGGGGGGGGGGCAAGAACAGCCTGGCTCTCTGGCCCCGGTGGCATTTTCACAGAGGGGACCGGGAGACCGACTGTCACGGTGGAGCTGGGTCTGACTTTTCTGTTCTGCTGTGATGAAACCCCGTGTCTCTCTCTCGTGCAGGGCCGAAGTGGTTCTAGGGAACGTCATCAAGAAGAAGGGCTGGAGGTAACTGCTCTGCTCCCTGTGCGTCTGTCCCCACGTCACGCGGGAAGTTTGAGGCTGCTCTTTGCTGCTGACCGGCAGGGGCCCGGGTTCGGCCTCGGCAGCCCTGTAGTCTGCTATGGCCCGCAAGTTCCAAGCTTGTTCTTGCTGGGAAGCAGAGAGGAAAATTCCGTTCCCAAGAGCAGGAGGCTACTGCATGAGAAAGCCAGGGGGAGGCTGGCGGAGTTGGCTGCCCCCACCCCACCTCTGCCCCTCCCGCCCTTGCCCTTGTCCAGGCCCATCCCTGGGGATTCAGAGGGCCAGGGCCCCACTGCAGAGTCCCAGGCCGAAAAGAGCTGGAAGTGAGAATTCCCTGAATGCCCTGGAACGGCAGGGGTGCAAGGTCCTTCCACCCCATGGCTGGAGCCTTAGGGCCAGAGGAGCCAGGCTGCCTGAGAGGGGGTGGCTTGGGGACCCACCCTCTGGTTGTCCACGGGACCTTAGCAAGTGTCTCAGCCCCTCCGGAGCTCACTGTCCCCATCTGTAAGGGGACAAGTGTCAGACCTCCTGGGAGGGCTGTCCTGAGGGTCAGTGGCCCCAGGTCTAAATCACCTGCCCAGCTCAGGGCCAGACGCATCGTAGTCACCCGGGAAGTGGCAGCTCTGCGGCACAGACCCAGCTGCATGTGTCCCTCGGGGTTGTGGGGTGGGGCCCCACAGCCAGGTGGGTGAAGGGTCTGAACCTGAGGCTCCAGTGGCCACCGGCACGGCCCCACTGGGCACCCAGGCGGGCGATCACAGGAGGCCAGGCCCTGGGGGACACAAGGGGTCAGGCCTTCCCTGGGCTGGGGGAGCTCGGCCTCTGCATGCCATCCCCCCACCCCACCTCACTCCAGTCCCCTTGGTGGGGCCCAAGGGTGGCAGATCCGGAGCCCCCCCCTTTCTCTCCCAGGCAGCAGTTCCCACCCTCCTGGGCTGCTGGGCTCACCACCTGCCCCCCACACAGATGCTCTGAGACACCTGTCCCCTCCCGCAGGGGACAGCCCCAACTCGGCACCCCGGCCCCTTAGCTTCCCCGGCCCCTTTGCATCCCCACCAAAGCCCCGTCCACCCTCCAGCCCATGCCTGGCCCCCTCGGGCTTGGCTCTTGCCACTCCTTCCACCCTGACCAAAGCCACAAGGCCCTCCCAGCCCCTAAGCCCGGCCCCTCCCAAATCCTGGGCCTTTGCGCTCCGACTTGCGGCCCTGCCACCGTGACTGCTCCCTCAGTCCCATCACTGGGCTGCCGCCCAGCTCGCTGCGGGGCCCCACACCCCTGCTTGGCACAGGGTGCACATCAGACAATGGAGAAGCACCCACTTCGTGCCCCTGGGGAGCCTGGTGGGAAGGTTTTAGGACCCCTCGTGACAGGGGAGGACGTCAGAGCTGAGGGAGGACCGTCGAGGGGCCGGGCCCAGTAACACCCTCCTCCTCTTCTGTTCCGCAGACGGTCCAGCCTCGTCATCACCACCAAGATCTTCTGGGGAGGAAAGTAGGTGCAGCCATAGGCCGTGTGGCCGGCCCGGCGTCCGGCAGCCCCTTGTTCTTTGCAAACCCCTGGCTTGGGAGGCTCCTGGGAGTGGGGGCAGGGCAGTTGCCCTTGAGAAGGGAGAGTGCACCGGGGTCCATCCTGGACAGGCCCGGAGGACAGGACCCGGTTCCAGTGCCATCTCTGTCCCCTGTCCCGCTGCTCTGACCCTCTCCTTGCACCCCAGGCAGCGTTGGTGCCGTCCCTGCTAAGAGACACCAAATCCAGAGAAGCAGCTTGGCTGAGTTTGCCTTTTACCCAAACCTCGTCTAATTTTTATTTTTACTTATGTGGGTGTTTTTTTTCCCTGCTTGCAAAAGTAACATCACAAAAAGTCTGGAAAACACAGAAAATGTGTGGACCGTCCAAACCACTCCAAACTCTCTGGGCCACCGGTCACCCCTGCAGGTGTCCGGGTGTCTTCCGTACACTCTCTCCAGGGCTGGACAAATTTGGGCTCATAGGAATTATAAATAAAATTCATTGTTAATTTTTTTTTAAATTTTAAAAGTCCAAACCAAGCAGAAGGGTAAAGTTGAAAAACAAAAGCCCCCACCCCTACCCCCGCCCCCAACAGCACCCAGGTGCGTCCAGGCTCCGTCTGGCCCCCGGGGGAGGGGGGAGTCAACCCTGTGGCTCCATCGTTTTCCCCCAAAGTGGACCCAGACCGCACTCAACGTTTGCTGACCTGCTTATCTCGCGTAATCTCGCGTCATAACCATTCTCCCCAAAACCACTTGCGATGTCGCCTGTCTTTCAGAGCGGAGACCGAGAGGGGCCTTTCCCGGAAGCACATAATAGAAGGTGAGGATGGGCTCTGTGCCGCCCCACCAGCCCCACCAGCGGGCCCTGCAGGGCATGAGGGTGGCACTGTGGCTGGACACAGACAGGCCTGGGTGTCAGTCCAGCCTCACGCGTAAGGGGCGTCCCTTTCCCAAGCCTCTGCCGCGGCATCCATACACTAAGAGCGCCGGCCACGCTGGGTTGCCGGGAATCTGGGAGGAGCCACGCACACGGCCCGGGCGCTGCGCCCAGGAGGACCCCAGAGGGGGCAGCTGGGGCGTCCGGCTTTGCTTGTATTTTATCATCTTCATGTCTTTCCTAGTCACGTGTATCGTCTGCACAATAACACCAGTCTGTGGAAAGTCAATTAGGGGACCTCTTTGCTCCCGGACACTCCCTCCCTCCCAAATCCAGCGTTTTCACTCTGTCAACTGTTTGTCCTGGGCTGTTCTCAGTACTAGCGGGCGGTGTGCGCGTTTTGGACACTATTGGCCTCTCACGGACAGACGACGGGCATAGCCCTCCCTCCACGCGTGATAACGTGGCTCTGCTGCTTGCAGCACGGATCACCAGGAGGCCACGGGGCGGCCCCAAGAAGGGTGTGCTCCCTGGGGGAGGGTCCCCCTACACTCGGCGCCCGGACATTGGCCTGTGGTCCCCGCATATGCCCTCCTGAGGGAGGGGCCCCACACTCACAAGCGCCACCAGCCACCCTGGAGCTCCCTGGTGCCAGGGCTGCTGCTCTCCCGAGCCCGGCACAGGGAGGGCCCCGAAATGTCGGTGGAGGTGTGTTGGCAGCGGTGACGGCCCCTCCCTGTCCTTCCCCAGGTCTGAAGGCCTCCCTGGAGCGGCTGCAGCTGGAGTATGTGGACGTGGTCTTTGCCAACCGCCCGGACCCCAACACGCCCATGGAAGGTAGGTGGTCTGCGAGGCACTGGCTGGGGGGTTCGAAGGACAGAGCCAGGTGGGTGAAGGGTCTGAACCTGAGGCTCCAGCGGCCACCGGCACGGCCCCACTGGGCACCCAGGTGGGCGATCACAGGAGGCCAGGCCCTGGGGGACACAAGGGGTCAGGCCTTCCCCAGGCTGGGGGGGCTCGGCCTCTGCGTGCCATCCCCCCACCCCACCTCGCTCCAGGCCCGCGCTGCCTCCCGCAAGCCTGCTGTCCCTCCCTCCCCCACCCCACCGCCGGCTGCGTGTGCTGTAGCTAGAGGAGAGTGCCCGTGATGACTCTGCCACTGCCGCCATCCTGTCGGCCACGTTCCACTGAGAGGCTTTAGGGGTCTCTGTCGCTCTAGGGGAGAATTACCACGTAGAGGAGAGGAACGTCCGGTGCTTCCGAGAGCGGTTTTGGTTTCTTTGGCGTTTTTATTCTTTGGACTCCCACGATCTCAGCACCCCCTCCCGCGTCGGGCATTGCTCATCCGCGCTTCGCTGCTCCGGGGACTTGGAAAATTAAGTTGTGTTCAAGTTATTTTTTCTTCATTTGTATATATATATATATATATATATATATATACATATATATATATGTTTTTCTTTCTAACAAAACACGTTTTCCATGCAAAGCGGCTCGCGCCTCCTTCCCACGCCTTGTCACGCCACGCCCCTCAGCGCCCCACAGCTGTAAACTCTGGTCTCTTTAAATCTTTCTTTTGTCACCAGGGGACCCATTTAGTTCCTCCAAGTCAAGGACATTCATCATAGAAGGTACACAGCACCCTTAGCCCAGCTATTGACTTCTGCGCCCCAGCTGCATTTTATGAGACAGTGGTTGTGACTTACACGACTCTTTCACCCCATGACAAACTTCTCCATAAAATGCACGAGGCGGGGGGCTCCCTGTGAGAGCGTCCTGCGAGGCAAGGACAACCAAGTGGCGCGGGAGCCCCTCGTCCGCCACGTGATCCATGCCGCCATTCCATCCCTTTCCTCCTGTGCATGGTCCCCACCCCTGGGCTTGCATTGCTGTGACCTGCGGTGGCCGGCCGGCCTCTGCCGGGACCGCCTCTCGAGTCGAGGATGCTGCAACCCCGCCTGGGAACTTGACCCCTGAAGGTGCCCTGGGGAGGGCTGGGAGACCATTTCTCTGCAGCAGCTCACCTGTCAGGGACTCCAGAACATTCAGCCCCCAGCAAGTCTTGGCTCCTCCTCCCGGCCAGCACGGCCACCACCCACAGCACGTGGGTCACAGGTGGCTCAGTGTGGCCAGACCTCTCCATCTAAATGAAGCCATTTTCCTCCTGAAAGAACAACGACAGGAGCTGGCAGGATTCTGAGACCGGAGGCAGCCTCTGCGTGGTCTCTCTGCCCTCCCCTTGGCTGAGGGCCCCAGGGCCCCGCCACAAGGGCCAGCACGGTCTCCCTGGGACAGGGCTGATGGAAGGGCTCCTGCCTGCCAGCTGGTGCTGCCACCCGACCCCTCCCATGCATTATTTGTGACATAGCAGGAGATGCCATGGGTTTTGGCAGCAGCTGGAAGGGTTCAGTCCTCCTGCTTCTGTTCAACAGCATTAAATATTGAGGCGAAGGACAGTTGTCCCTAACTGTCCCTGTGTCTGGGCCACCAACATCAGGCCTGGGCAGAGGTGCAATGTGCCCCTGCATGGGGCCCTACGTCAGTCCTGCCTCTGCCCAGGCCCCTTTGCTGGGGCCCTCCCCCTCCAGACAGCCAGAGGCTCAAGCAGACCCCCGACCCGCCAGCCGTGGCCCCATCACTGCATGGAGGGGGCGCACAAGGCACCTGGCTGGGACCTTCGTGACCGAGAGAACTGTGGGTGGGGGGAAGGCGAGGGAGTGGGTGGCCTCGGGGGCCTCTGCTTCCCTCTCTCTGGCATGTGGACCTGAGCCTTGGCTGGGAAGAATCGGGAAGGGATGCTGCATGGCCACAGGTGTCCCAAGAGTGTTTCTAAAAAAACTGAACGAGGACGACCGGGTCAGGAGCCCGGCCAGGGATTAGGATGTGGTCAGGGATTCCCCTGGGACCTTCTAGGTTCTTCCTGGACCTTCCCAGCCAGGCACTGGCCGCCTCCTCAAGGCAGATCAGTGTTGGCAGTTGGAGCAGGCAGCCAGGGAAGTGTCCCCAGGGAGGTCCAGACTCCCTCCCAGATCTCCACCCACGCATGGGGCAGGGAGGATTCTCGGGAGCCACAGAGGCCAGGGCTAGCTGCAGGCGTGGAAGCCGAGGTGGCCCTTCCAGCATCCTGGGTGAGCCTGCTCAGACCACCACCAGGAAGCCCCAGCTGCCCTTAGCTCCAGCCCTCAAGATGCCCTGGGTCCCACTCAGGCTAGAACTCAGCCAATGGGGCACTCAGGGACCTGGGAAGGCTGGGAAGTGACACCCCAGAACAGGTGGATGGGAAGTTAGCATTGCGTGCCACTCAGCGTGGGGGAGGGGGCTGTGGCCTTGCTGCCATTCTGCAGTGGAAACTTCAGAACAACCCAGCATTCTCCATCTTCCTTCCCGTCCCTCCCACCCCCAGCCATCTTCAGGGACCTCAGCTTCCCCGCCTCAGTGACAAATGAGGGGCAGGGCACTTAGGGAGCTATGGGGATTTTCAAAGGTCAATGTTACTGCACTGTTTTTAGAAACACTTGTTCCTCCACTTTGTTTCCAACACTGCCCTGGCAGTTGAACTTGCAAGCACTGTATCGACCGTGAGAAATCTGGTGGGACCGTCCCTCACCCCGCAAAGCCAAGAGGCATTCGAAACTTGAAAATCTGAGGCCAAGTTCTGTTTTTAAAACCCCAGCCTTCCCATGAGGCTCAAACAGCGGAGGGCGGGGCTATAGCTGGCAGATTTTTATGTCTCAAAGACTTTGTCGAATACTAGGAGGAATCTGTCATGTAACTGGAGCAAGGGTCCCTTTTCTGTTGTTTAAAAGATGCCATGGAGAGTCAGCGATTTAGTCCTTGGGCCATTGTGAGTCTCAGCAGCTGTCCAGGGTCCAGGCTGTTGCTCACAGCCGTCTGCTCTGAGAGCAAGAGCACCCCGACCCCTGTCGTCCCTGGACCGTCCCGTGCCAGGGGAGGGGACTGGTTTGAGAACCCCGGCCACGGTGCACACAAGGCTGTCCGTGCCTGCGCCAGCCCTCCTGGGCACGAGAGGAGCGAGGCCACAGCCCACCCTCCACCCCTCCAGGTGCCATCACTCCATCTCCACCAGGTTCCCACCCTCCCGGGAGGGTTTGGAACAGCCGGAAGCAGGAGACTTGGAACAGGCAAAACGCGTTTCCTTCCTGTTGCCTTTGCCGATCTGACTGCAGCCTCAATCCATTCATCTGGTCCTTCCTGAGTGTCAGGGTCCCGATCCCCACCCCCATTCCGGGTCACAGTCTTTGATCTCACCTTGCTGTCATCACAGTCCACCCGCAACCCGTCTTTCAAGGGTCCTGCAAGGCCTGTAACTAGCTGGGGAGAGTGTTTTCAAGACCACCTTCTGGGATTGCGGCTCGCTTTTCTCTTCCATCCCGGAAAACCCCTCCCACGCCAAGTCCCGAGCCAGGAAGTACACTGCTTGCAAGACGTCTTGCAACCGCCTCTCCCTCCTCCCCGCGTCCCGCCTGCGTTTGCAGCAAGTCCCCAGGCTGGGCCCCCCCGTGCCCCGGACGCCCCCCCACCTGCAGTTTCTTCTCTCATGACAGAGACCGTACGAGCCATGACGCACGTCATCAACCAGGGGATGGCCATGTACTGGGGCACGTCGCGCTGGAGCTCCATGGAGATCATGGTACGGCCCGCCGTGTGCGTGTGCGCCTGCGCCGGCCACGTGAGACCCCAAGGCCCGGCAGAGTGTGAGCTTCGGTCCCCGCCGCACAGATAACGGGGTCGTGAGCAGAGACCGGGCGCTGGAGTGCGGCGGCTGTGTGTGTAGGCCCCGCAGGCGGGGGTCTCCGCGTGAATCCCGGCACCGCATGGCCCTGGCAGATGGCTTAACCTCTCTGAGCCTCAGTTTCCCCTCCTGTAGAACAAGCCTGCCAGCAGGATCCCTCATGGGGCTGCTCTGAGGATCCTCTGAGAGAACTGGGGCGAAGCTCTTAGCAGAGGGAAGCCCTGGGCAGGGAGGACACCGTCACCCTCTCGTGCCGGGCGCGCGTGGGGTTCCGGGTGCTGTTGGATCTGAGGGCTTCAGGGGAGCTAACTCCCATCTGACCCTCTCAGCGCCTTATGATGTGCTGCTGCCGGCATCCTGGTTTCCAGATGTGGACACTGACGCACAGAGAGGTTAAGTGATATGTGCAAGGTCACACAGCTCAGGCCAAGGGTGACACCCAGGCCATGTGGCTCAGAGCCTGCCTGGGCTGCCTCAGAGTGTGACCCAGCTATTGGGACCTCGGGCTTGCATCTCATAATCCGTGGCGTTTCCCCCTCGCCCGCATTTTCAGGAACGTGTCCCGCTAACTGCCATTTCCCTCCTGGGAGCCCCCAGGGGCTGCGGGCGGGGGATGTTTCTTGATATCTGGGCTCCCCGGGAAGGGGCAGCGTGGAGGGCGCCTCTGTGCTCAGGGGCGTGGAAGGGAGCGGGCTGGAGAGGGAGGGCAGAGGCAGGGGCTTGCGTCCTCCCGAGGCTGCCACCCCCCGGCCTGCCCCTTCCCAGCTCCTGGAGCCCCCAGCCTCCCACATCGCTGGGAGGAGTGTCCCCTCTGGTGAGTCCCAGGGCTGCGCTTTGTGAGAGACGTTCAGCGGGATTTTCGTTTCGAACTAAACACGCTTGTAGAAGCCTCCGCTATTCATCAGCCTTTGGCGTGTGGGATATTAATGAGCATTTATTTGGCATTTTTCTGGAGCCAGCACTGAGCTGGAGGAGGTGTCAGCATCGTATCCCCCTTTTGCAGATGAGAAAGCTGAGTCCCAAACTGGAAGGGAAGGGCCTCCTGGACAGCAGGGCTCTGCCGTGGCCGGGCTGACGCCGTCAGTGGGGGTGGAGGAGGGTCTGCACAACCACAGCCTTGGGCTCCCTGTCCCAGAAATGGGCTGATGCCTGATGCTTTCTCCTCCCGCCCTGCCATCCTCCCAGGCCCAGGGCCACAGGTGGCAGCCATTCATGGTAGGAATAGCAACAGGTATAGCCAGCAGGCCCCCGGCCCACCAGGCACTGTTGTGAGGGCTGCAAACACCCCTGGCTAATTTGGGGAAACTGAGGCCCAGAGGTGAGCCCTTTGACCAAGGCCACTCAGCCAGTCCGTGCCAGACCCCAGCCTCACGGCTGCACGGCGCTTTCCCAGACCCTCAGCCTTGGGGTCCCACCACGCACCCCATGTTCCCAGCTCACCTGGGCCTTGCTGGCTCCCAGGAAAGGTGGGGCGGAGGGAGTGGGAGGGTCCCAGGGGGCCAGGCCATCTGTGTCCCAGGGGTGCCTTTGTGTCCCGCCACCTGCTGCCCCGCAGCTCCCCGGGGCCACTGACCAGCAGGGGCGTCTGCGCCCCTTTCCCCCCCAGGAGGCCTACTCGGTGGCCCGGCAGTTCAACCTGATCCCGCCCATCTGCGAGCAGGCCGAGTACCACATGTTCCAGCGCGAGAAGGTGGAGGTGCAGCTGCCCGAGCTGTTCCACAAGATAGGTGGGTGCCGCCTGCCCACCCCGCCCCACCCCACCCCCTCGGCCCAGGCCTTGACTGTGCCCGGTGTTCCCCTCTAGGCGTGGGCGCCATGACCTGGTCCCCTCTGGCCTGCGGCATCGTTTCGGGGAAGTACGACAGCGGCATCCCACCGTACTCCAGAGCCTCCTTGAAGGTGAAGGAATGGCCAGGGAAGGGGAGGGGCATGTGGGGACAGGCATGTGGGGGCAGGGGCACCTTTGGTCCGACCGCCTTGGTGCTGGGCAGGGGCTTCCCTGGGCCACAGCTGGCCTTGCCACCTCTGCCTGCGGGTTCCATGGCATGAGGACGTGGAGCCCCTTCTGGCCTGACCCACACCCAGATGGGCCACCCACCCCTTGAGACCTGCTCCAGATAGGGGGGCCCCTTCATATACCCCCACCTCTGCCCCCACCCCAGTGTGCACATGGTGGGCTGGGTCCACAGGTGCCATTGGGGTGCCCCCACCCCATACACTCTCCCACTCTCTGCTGTCACTGAGTCCTCACCACTCTCTGCTGTCACTGAGTCCTCAGGGGCTGCAGAGCTACACAGTGGTGACCCTGGGACAAGTGCCCCTCCCACACACATACCTCTGGAGCGTCCCAGACTGCAGGGCTTGGGGACACAGAGCTGGCAGAGAAAGGCCTGCCCAGCAAACCAGACCCAGCCCTGGAGCCTGGCCCTGGGATCTGGGGCAGCAGGGCCTGGCCCACCCCTCCTCCGGGCCTGCAGCAAGGGCGGGGCAGGGTGCTCTCCAGGAGGCAGCGTGGTCCTGGGGGGTGGCCAGGGGTTGGCAGCACCCCTCTAGTGCCAGGGCACTAGTGCTAGGCCCAGTTCCTCTGGGCCACAGGCGGCAGCCAGTACACACACACACACACACCACCGGCAGCCAGGCGTCCTGGGAGAAGGGAAGGGCAGCACTCACCGCCTCGTCCTGGCTCAGCGGCCTGTCGGTACCACAGACTGCACTTGACAGTGTGGACGGGCCGTTCTCCTCCTGCCCACCCTGCACGGCTGGCCTGGGGTGGGATGCCGCCCTGGCTTTGAGACCAGGCTGCTCTTGGGAGAAGGATCTGGAAGGAACACAGATTGTCAGCCACCTGCATGTGGGGTCCGGGTGACCTGCCCTCACCTGGAGCTGTGTCCTGCCCCACCCAGGGCTACCAGTGGCTGAAGGACAAGATCCTGAGCGAGGAGGGCCGGCGCCAGCAGGCCAAGCTGAAGGAGCTGCAGGCCATCGCTGAGCGCCTGGGCTGCACCCTGCCCCAGCTGGCCATAGGTGAGGGCTCGCGTGCCGGGGAGGGGGCGGGGGTCCCCGAAGGCCTGTGCTGGCCATGGGGAAAGGGGCTGGGGGTTACCATGGGGCCAGCATCCCTGGGGATAAGGCGAGGGAACCCTGAGCAACACCCCTGTTCGCCACGGGCAACAGGGCTCTGGGGGCAGAGTTGGGACCCGTGTCCTTGGGGAGAGGGCGGGGGTCCCTGAGGCCCTTGGCCATGCCCCTATCAGCCAGCCATGGGTAATGAGGCCCCCACATTCATGGTGGGGGGGGGGCCTGAGCCCCTGGGCCACCTCTATGCCCAGGGCAGTGGGGCCAGAGCTTCCCCGGCACCCACTCCAGCCACTCCTTGGGCAAAGCCCCCCCAGCGTTGCTGAGCGTCTCGAGCCCCCCAACCCCTAGACACAGAGACTGGGTCTCTCCGGCCCGGTCGGGGGCAGATGGCCCTGCAGAGGGCACCTCCCTCACCTCGGGTCTTGCTGCCCCAGCCTGGTGCCTGCGGAACGAGGGTGTCAGCTCCGTGCTCCTGGGCGCCTCCAACGCCGACCAGCTCATGGAGAACGTGGGAGCCATTCAGGTGAGCGTGTGCGGCTGCGCAGAGCGCCCACCCAGCGGACCGTTGTCCTGCGCGCCAGGCACCGTCTAGACGGCCAGGACGCGTCCTCGAACCGTCGGGGGGCCCTGCTCCTGGAGAGCTCGCCTTCTAGCAGGGACAGGTGCACACTGGATGCCGGGAGGAAGGAAGTTGATACGGGCTTTGGAAGGTGACAAGCTCTAGAGGAAAAACGCCGGAGATGGGGAGATGGGAGAGGGAGGCGGGGGCAGGGGAGGTGGCGCCATGGACCAGGGTTAAGACCCCGAGCGAGGAGGGCCGCTGTCAGCTGGGCTTGCTGAGAACGTGGCGTTTGAGCACAAGCTTGGGAGCCGAGCGGTGAGCCGTGCACGTGCCAGGTGGGGAAGAGGCTCTGGCGGCAGCAGCCACTGCCAAAGCCCGGGGCAGGGGCAGAGCCTGAAGGGCAGGGATGGGTGTGTTTCTTCCGAGTGGGGAGCCGGGCACCACTGGGAGCTGAGAGGGGGCTCGGTCCAACGTAGCTTTCAAAGGCGGCTCCTCTCTGCCTGCTCCACGGGGCCAGATTTGGGAAGCCAGAGCAGTGTGGCCTCCATCTGCTTCAGATGGAGTCAGATGTGACAAGTGGGGACGGTCCCGGCCAGGAGGTCTGGGAGGACGTCGCCCCACCCCCCCCACCAGCCAGGCGACCTTGGTAGAGAGTTCTGATTCGTTTTTTTTTTTTGAGACAGAGTCTCACTCTGTTGCCCAGCCTAGAGTGAGTGCCGTGGCGTCAGCCTAGCTCACAGCAACCTCAAACTCCTGGGCTCAAGCAATCCCGCTGCCTCAGCCTCCCAAGTAGCTGGGACTACAGGCATGCGCCACCATTCCCAGCTAATTTTTTCTATATATATTAGTTGGCCAATTAATTTCTTTCTATTTATAGTAGAGACGGGGTCTCGCTCTTGCTCAGGCTGGTTTCGAACTCCTGACCTCGAGCGATCCGCCCGCCTTGGCCTCCCAGATCTGATTCGTTCTTGTCCTTGCATGCAGGTCCTTCCCAAACTGTCGTCTTCCATTATCCACGAGATCGATAGTATTTTGGGCAATAAACCCTACAGCAAAAAGGACTACAGATCCTAAGACACCCCGCCCGCCTGCTCGGACAGTCCCCGTCTCCCTCCTAGTCTTTGTTTGCTCGCTTAAGCCGTTCTGGAGCCGAGTGGAGAGTGTGGTTTCCATCAAAGAGAAAACACTCGCCATGACATCATCGGGAAATGGTCTCCCACGTCGCTGCCAGACGCCACCCACTGCTTCGCCAGACCACGTGGAAGTCGGGTTTGTGCCCGAGAAGCATTGGTTAGGAAGAACGTGGAAGCAGTCCCACCCAAGCCTGTCGCCTCTGCTCATCCTCCCAGAGAAGAACACCCAGCTGTCTCCCACCCTCGGCCCTTCGCGGCGATTCCCGAAGTCAAGGCCAGGCCAAGGCCTGGTTGGGTCTTCCGGGCGGGCAGGGCCGACCTCTCCTCTGCCAAGACCCGCTTCCTGGTGTTGGGGGAGGGGAAGAGGGGTCTGGCCCTTCCAGGGGCCCCCTGTGCCAGGGCCCTGGTGATTGGGCGGGGCCTCCCCACTGGGGGTCTTCCTCAACCTCCCTCTTTCCAAGGGCTCCAGGTACTTTCTGGGGACCTGACCCCAGATTCCTCCCCTGTCCTTCTATGCCCTGACCTGCCCACTGGGTCTCGGCAGGGGCACACCCACCCAGCCGGCCTTGCCCCCCCCACCCCGTCCCTCGTTGGCAGGGGCAGGGACCCCAGAGGGAGTGGCTGTGTGGCTTGGGACCCACAAAAGTTCAGGGCTCAGATGGCTAGCCCTGCAGTCTTCCTGCCTGCACACCGCTGAGGAGCCCAGGCCAGGGAGGCCTGGAGCACTGGGGAGGGGCTCAGAGGAATAGGCCCCTCTGTCCTTGCCCCGGAAGGCCCTGTGGCTTTGCACTCAGAGCTGGACCGTGGCTGCTGCCCACACATGGGCAGGTGGCAGCAGGCAGGGCCCCTGTGCACAAGGACATGCTCCCCTCGGTCTGCAGAGACCCTCCTCTAAAACCACCCCCGCCTCAGGCCTCTGTTGTGTGCCGGGGTGGTGGGCTTGGGTTTTGCAGACAGAAGATGCTTAGACCCTTCCGGTAAAGGAAGGTCCCTGTGGTTCTCTGAGCTGCCTGCCCAGGGGCTGGGGCGGTACCCCAGCAGCAGCCCTACAAAGTAGGGAAAGACCTCAGGGAAACTCTCCCTGGAGAGAGGGCTGGGGCTGGCCGGTCCCTCCACACCACCCCCTGCCTGGGACAGCTGGGGAGAGAGAGGGAGGGCAGCACGGGCCCAAGTCAGGCCCTGTGCATCGCGGGGCTGGAGGGATGGTGACGCCAGCAAGCCTGCAGGAGGTGGTGGCCTGGAGGCCCCTCCTGTGGTCCTTTGCGGGCTACACGGGGGCAGAACCAGCCCCACCACACCCTTTGCCTGCTGGCTCCACCCCCGGAGGAGCTGCCGTTCTGAGCAGGCCACTCCCTGGCCAGTCCTGGCCAGGCCGAGGCCTGGGGCCCTGCTGTGAGAAAGGCACAGATGCAGGGGGGGGGGGCGGGGAGGGGAATGGCTTCCTCTTTTTCCGCCCCACCTTCCTGCTTGACCCTGGAGTCCAAAACCTTGGCCCTCCCCTAGAGCAAGCCCTGGGGGTCTCCTCCGCCAACACCTGCCGCAGGCTTCGCCAGAGCAGCCCTCGGGGTGTGGGGGGTGCCCCCAGCAGAGGTCCCAGCCCATGGCACCACACGGGGCTCAGGCGCCTGCTCCCGGGACAGCCCTGCAGGGGCAGGTGCTGCGGAAGGACAAGACGGCCCTCCCCTCGCAGGCAGGGAGGTGGCTGGTCCTGTCTGCACAGCTGCCCCCGGCCCCGTCCGCTGTTTGAAGATGGACCAGGGCGTGTGGGCGCCGGGTGGGGCTGCTGCTCCCCGTGAGCCACACACAGGGAGACAAGAGCCCCAGGGTGAGCTCTGCCAAGGCCCACGTGCCCGGCGCCAGGACCCAGGCAGCCTCCCAGCCCAGCACTTCCCACAAGCGGGTTCGGGGTGTCCTGTTCCACGCCCACTAACAGGGCAGGCAGGGCTCTGCTTCCTGGGGGCGGGTCCCCCAGCTCAGGAGGGGTGGGTGGGGGAGAGGTGTCAGGTGTGGCCATCGGAGAAGGAGGAAGACCACGGGCAGTGTGAGCCTGCGAGGGCAGCGCCGGCCCCAGCTGGGCCCACTATCCCACCCTGACCCGTGGTCGAACCCCAGGTCCCGAGGAATGACAGGGCCATCCTCCCGTCTTCCATCCTCGTCCGGTCATGTAAATAATGTGCTTCTCTCCCCCCATTTTTTTTTAATGACTGTGGTTCCTCAGCTGATTGCATTCCCCACCTAGGCAGAGACTGCCACATGCCTCGAGCTTCCAAAGGAGACTCAGACCGAGACAGCCACCGTGTCCATGGAATGACAAAATAAAGCCCAAGCCCCTCGGTCTCCGTGCCTTTCTGCTCCTTGCATTTCCTTGGGGCCAGAGACAGGCAAGGGCGCCACGGGAGGGGAGGGAGGAACTGCCGGCCACGGGGCTCCCCGAAACCTGAATCTGGGACAAAAGGGCCGTCAGGAGAGGCAGAGATGGGGCAGAGGGTGGGGACAGGGTGCTCGGGAGATCAGCTCCCACCTCTCCTAAGTGATCCTGCCCAGGGCCCACGGGGGTGAGGGAACCTCCCCTGCCCCCCAGCATGCAGTTCTCTTTGGCCACCTCCGAGGGCCCAAAGCTGGTTGCTGGGAGGCTGCTGTGCCCTCAGGGGACCCAGCCGGTGCTGCTGTCACCATGACAGAGGCTGGAGGCGTCCTGGTGTATTTCAGGGTGCGGGTAACATGGGCTCCACCCAGCACACCCCTGATTAGAGGCCCCTTCCTTCCCAGTGCACCCCTGAGCCCATGAAACATAACTTCCCAGGGGGATGAGCCTCGGGAGACGCCCCCACCCCCATCCTAAACCCGTAAGAATCTTTAAAAAGCTCTTGGATTCAATCCTTTCCCAAAGGATTTATTAAAACACAGAAAACCAAACATACACACAGAGTACAAAGTAAAGGTGATTGTGTCGGCTACAGGCTCTGTCCAGCCTCCCACGGGCACAGACTGGACACGGCAGGGAGCTCAGCTTCCAAAGTGCAACCCCCGCCTCTGCTGGGACACCCAGCGGGGACTGCCCACGAGCCCCTGGCCCCACGCCCAGCCCAGCACCCCGCTTCCCCATCCTGTTCTCCAGCCTGGGCAAGGGGACGGCCTCTCTCCGCTGGGCGATGCTGAGCCTGGGTGGGTGGGGTTCAGGCCCCCACACTCTCCAGCTCAGACCCCCTGGGCGGGGGGGGGAGGGGAGACCCTTCCCTCCTCTCCAGGGGGGCCTGGGCTCCAGGTGATCTGTACGTGAGGAGTTCAGGACACACACACAACCCAAAGGGCCCTTTCTGGGTTATCGCGCCTAAAAAAATACTTTGTTAAAAAAAAAAATCTGAAAATTAAGGGAAAAGAATCCAAAAACACAACAACGCCAATGACTTTGGGCTGATGCACCACAACCTGTAAACTTTCAGACATAGAAAACGGGATGGGGAACCAGCTTCCTTGACGGGTGCAGCGGTTTGCACAGGAGAGCCATGGGGGAGAGACCACCCGCCTGCGGCCACGGCCAGGCCACCAAGACGGTGAGGAGGGAGGGGGCGTGTTGGTCTCGGCCCCCACCCACCCCGCACACACCGGAGGCTCCACACGGCTGCCAGCCCACCCTCCACCCGGACCCCCTCGGGCCTCAAAAGCCCTGGGATCCGGGACAGGAATGAGGACTGCAGGTGTCCCCGGGCCGAGACAAGCAGCCCCTGACCCGGCAGGGGAGCCCCTGGGGAAGGCAGCCCCGACGAGCAGGAGGACCTTGGCCGTGTGGGGCCAGGGACGTCCAGGCCCACCTCCGGGAGAAGCCAAATTCACAGAAGACAAAGGAGCTTCGGAAAGCGGCTTTCAGGGCTCTGCCTCCCTGGCAGGCATGTTGGAGAAAGGGTCCCTTCCAGATGTGTCGCTGCAGCCCAAACTCCCTTGTCGCCTGAGAGCCCGCTGGGCACTGCCTTTCAAGACCTTTGGCCCAAAGGTGGTTCAACAGAAACCCTACTCAGCACTGGCTTAAATCATAAGGTGGCTGGAAACATAAAAACACAGGCTGCACACTGGGATCACGCCGTGCACAAGGACCCTAATTCTGCCAGCAGCAAAAACCAAACCCAGCCTGAAGATGCCAAAGACACGGACACCACTCCCGGCCCCCAGCCCCACTGTTGGCAGGAGATGACTGATAAGCCAAGAAGAAAACATTCTTAAAATCCTTTCTCCTCTCCAAAACCGTCCACCAGAAACCTGCTCCCAACTCTCGCAGCCTTCCCGGCCCGGCCTCCTGGGCGCCAGTCAGTTGCAGAGAGCATGGCCCTTCTTGGGACCGGGTGGGGCTCTGGCCAGGCTGTCCTCGGTGCCTGACTCTAGCCTGCCAGAGAGGGGACCCCGGGCAAGGCCAGGGAAGGAGGAAGAGGGAGGGACGGAGCGAAGCTGCCTGGGGTGAAGCAGTGTGGACTCAGACCTCCACCCTCCCCACCACGTGCCTCCAGGCCTGACCCTGGGGACCCGTCCCCTGTGGCCAGGGAAGGCGGACACTGTCCCCAGGGAGGCCAACCGCAGTGCTAACCTGCCACCTGTTTGGAGATGAGGACATTCCAGGCCCTGTGGCCTGAGCCGGGAGCCTTTGCAGGGAGGCACTGACCAGCGGACACATGTGGATAAGCCACAAGGGACTGGAACAGCCCCTAGCCCTGTGCCGGGTCAGCCGCCACAACACGTGCCAGGGACATCCGTGCTGCGCTCAGGCCGGCTAACAGTCTTCTCTCCACTTGAGGGTCCCCCGCTCTGCCCACCCACAACGCCGGAGCCAGGCTGGCCTTGGGGACCTAGACTGGGACTGAGTGCGGGACACAAAGAGGGAGGGGTCCTGGCAGTTCAGAGAGAGCCACACTGCAGATGAGGACATCTGGGGTGCAAGGAGGGCCGGGCAACCACCCAAATGTCCACAAGACAAGCCGGCGAGTCCTGGCCCGGCCCTGGCTGCCCTTCAGGCTGGGGCCAGCCGAGAGACGCCGTGTGTCCCTCACCCCTCTCCCAGGGAGCTGAGCCCAAGCCCCTGCAGCGCCCCGCCCCCAGGCCCAGCTGGCTTCTCACTGGGCCCCTTCCTCACACTCCCAGGACCCTGCACCCTGGGGCACCTCCACTGGGAAGCCCCCTTTGGGCTCCAGCCCCTCTGGAGGACCAGACAGACAGACAGGCCTGGACCCAGCCATCCTCCCTCCCCCTCCCCCACATGGTACCCTCCAGCTGGGGCAGTGGAGGGGTGGGAATTCTGACAATGACAATACACATGTGGCAATGTGGTCCTGGGACTCCAGGGCATTCCTGCCAGGAAACAAGGCGGCAAGCCCTGGATGCTCCAGCTGGGAGGGGCTGCAGAGGCCGGCGGCACGGTGCCCAGGCCCACGCAGAGCTCTCCACGAACACAGGGAGGGCGGCTGGGCCCTGCCTCGAGCAGCAAGTGCCCCGACAAAGGCCTCCCCAGGGACAGGAGAACAGGGATGAGTCCGGGCTCCAGGGGACAGCCTGGCTCCCCTCCTGCATCTGTGGCCCAGGACACTGTGCACAGGGGAGTCTGTACCTTGACGGGGAGGGGGCGGGTAGGCCTCCTAGGGCACAGGGCCAGGCCATGGTCTCTGGGGCCACCTCAGTGTCCAGACCCTTCTTGCAGGGACACTATTTGCCCACAGCCACATCCCTGCAGATGGTAGGCGCCACCCCCCCCAGTCCCTTCCTTCAGTGGCTCTGGTCCTCCCTCCTTTGCTGGAGCACACACTTCCGCCCGCCTTGAGCAGCCAGGCCCATGGGCCCTCCCTGGGTAACAGAGTCCAGGGCCTTCGAGACACACTGGGCCAGGGACAGACACCTGCTGACGGAAGAGCCCCCTCCCCACCAGGAAACAGCAGATCCCCCAGTGGTCTCCGGCCCTGGCAGGAAGGAGGTGGCAGAAACGCCCCGCCCTGACCTGGGATCAGCCAGGGCCTCCACCATCGGGCCGGACGGCAGCCCCCCAAACCCGCCCGCCTGGTGCTGGGGCACCCCAGCAAGCAGGGGGCCGGAGCAGAAGGGCCGTCACGTCACGCAGGTGCAGACAGGATGGGGCGAGGGCACGTGAGGGCTCCCGGGCCCGGCGCTGCCATCTCCCCTGCTGGGCCGAGTCCGCCGGGCAGCGCCGGGGCTCCCAGGAGCTTCCCCTCGGGTCCGGAGCCCGTCAGCAAAGAGACGGTGAGCGCTGCAGGTCAGAAGCTTCCACACGGCATCCGACTTTTATCAAGACAAACTTGTTCAAGTCTTCAACAGGAAAGTGCAAAAGACGTACAAATAAATGAAATCTCTTCTAAGAAGTCGTTCTGGAAAAGGTGGTGAGGGGACACGTCCGGCGTGGCTGTGGGTGACACTGTGTGGAAGAACATTTGAACCACGATGAGGCGGCACTTCTGGGCTCTGCCCAGCCGAGCTGGGCCTCGTCCTCCACGTGATGGCGTTACTCGGTTTCCCTTTTTGTCCCAAGGTGGCACCGGCTCCTAAAAAGGCGGCAGCTTTTCTCTCCTGTGGGAGCCGGGCGGGCGGCCCGGCAAGCTCAGCTGCAAAGGGCGGATGGGCAGGTGATGCAGCCGGGTGGCCGGGGTGGCCAGGTCTCCGGTCACGAGGGGTGGGGGCGGGGAGGGGCACCCACCAGTGTGCAGCTGCCCACCCACCACCTACCACAGCCAACTGTGACCCAAGGGGGTTCCTGAGCCACAACCCCCCAGCCACAGGCCACTGGGCCAGAGTGCCACAGAGCAGCCGGGAAGCAGCCTGCAGAGGGGTGGCCAGGCTGCAAGCCCCTGCAGCCTCCACTGCCGAGGGGCTCGGTGGAGGTTGGTGGCCGGGGAAGGAGGCCAGGGTGAAGTGACATTTTTCTCTGGCATGAGCCCCTACTGCCAATAACACCTGCCCCCAAACCCTCGACCACCCTCCTGATCGTGGGCAGAGAGTGAGGGTGTGAGACAAGACGTGGCGCCCGCCACCGGCAGGGCAGCAGAGGCGGGACGGGGATGGTCCAGGCAGGGTGGCAGCGACTCACCACCGGGCATGTGTGTGCACATGCAGGAGCAGGCGCGAGTCCACTGGGCCCGCGTGTCCTGCCCCCAGCCTCCCCATGGGCAGACACGCAGGCTGCAAATCGGGCCCGGCACAAGCGGGGTGGGGGCAGAGGGGCCCAGGCACAGGGGGTGTCTCGGGGCCCCGAGGCAGGACAGGCTGCAAGGCTCAGGGACGGGGGCTCTGGCCGGGCCGACCTGCCAGCCCGTGGGGAGGGCACAGGACAGCGCCTCACCTCTGCTGGGAAGGAGCGCTGCGACAGAGGGGCCTCGCGGGGACGGCTAGATATCTGTCGGGGAGAGAGAGAGCGCGGGCTTGCCTGGCGTCCCAGGCGGCGGGCAGGCCAGGCCCGGCGGGCGCCTGTGTGCATGCTGCCCCGAAGCCGGCGGGCACCTACCGGTCACATAGGGCCCCAGGGGCATCTGGTTGTAGTTGACAATCCCTCCCGGTCCAGGGCCCCGGAAGTTGGGCCCAAAGTTATTGTTGTACATCTGGGAGGAGCCGAAAGCGCCCTGGAGGCAAGGACGCAGCTTTACGGGGGTCTGGGGGTCCCCCGCGCCCCGCCCCGCCCCCACCCCGGGGGCGCCCGGACCGAGAGGGGCTTGGGCGGGGCGCGCAGACCAAGCCTGACCTGCTGGATGGTGGGGTCGCCGGCCCGGTTGGTCAGGCGGCTCAGGATGCTGCGCTCTGACATCTGCAGGCGGGCGGCCACCGGGGGGATGCGGGACAGCATGGAGGGCAGGCGGGTCACGTCCGCCTTCATGTCGCTCAGCAGCTCCTCCAGCTGGTTCAGGACTGCGGGCGGGAGGGCGGGCAGCGGCATGGAGGGCGGGCAGCGGCATGGAGGGCGGCGTCTCCCCGTGCGCTGTGCCAGGCAGCTGCTCGTTCCAAGGGCTGTTACTGTGCCCCACCCCGCGGGCGCCGGGCCCGCCCGGGCCACAAGGCAGACGGTCGCCAGCGGGGGGCACAGTGGGGACTTGCAGGACAACTGCTCCCCCGGCCCCTCCGGGCTGGGCCGGGCTGCAGGGCTGCAGCGAGGGGAGCCAGAAGCCCCCCCCCATGCTGGCCCTCCCTCCTAGAGCCCCTCAGGGAGACTGCAGCCCCAGCCCCCGCTGCAGACGGGCTCACAGGGCAGGCTGCCCACTCGGCAGACAGGCACAGGAGTGTGAGTCCAGTGACTCTCGTGAGTGACCCTGGCCTTGGCCACATCCCTCTTCACTCTGGGCCGCCCGCCTCCCAGCCTGGGGGCCCCCTGCAGGCAGAAATGTGCCTGGTGTCTGGTGACCCCAGACACAGCTTCAGAGCCAGTGTCCAAAGTCTGAATCCCAGGAGATCTTGGGCAAGTGACTTCACCTCCCTGGGCCTCGATGTCCTTGTCTTTAAAGTGGGGACAATGAGGAGACCCACCACTGAAGGAAATTGTGGGGATTAAAGAGAGAACGTGCTTAAGGCATGCTGGCAGCGCTCGACAAACAAGAGCCTGTGCCACCACCTCCCGTCCTCTGTGTCACCTGCCCCCAGCCCAGGCACGCACCAGAGCAGGCCTTCGGGAAGAGGCTGGAGAAGGAAGGAGCCTCAGTTTCCCCACAGGGGAGATGAGGCACTGGACGGCAGGACCGTCCCATCCTGTCCCAGGAGGCTACACCCTCCGGGCTGAGGACTGTCCCCAGCCCCAGCCCCATCAGGCCCTCATCTACGGACGGGAGCGATCGCCCGGCAGGAGGAAGGCGGGGGCCGCACTGCAGGAAGCGGGGCTCACTCACCCTTGTGCAAGACGGCATTGGCAGGCTTGTTCCCGGCAAGGGACTCCTTGGACAGGTGCTGGTGGCTCTCGGCAAGGCACTCCACCTCGGCCAGGCGGGCGTTGAGGGCCATGGCTGGGTGGTTGGGGTCCTGGGTCATGTTGAGGTACGCCGCCCTCCGGAGCTGCTCCTCAATGACCAGCGCCTGCTCCAGCAGCTGGGGGCGGGGACCGAGCGTCGGCCTGGCCCCTCTCCCCGCACGCCCCCACCCTTCTCCTCCACCAGCCCCTGCGCCCGGCCGCAGCTCCAGGCAGCAAGGCAGGAGGGAGGACGCCCCCACCGGCTGTCCGTCCTCTCCTGGCCGAGGCCACCCCTAGGAGCTTTCACCCAGCTGGCTTCTCTGTGCCTGTCACCCCAGACGGCGAATACCCGCCCAGCGGGGCCTGGCCCAGAGCAAGAATCCCACCACCCGGCTGGTCGACTGACCGACACATGCACCGTCCTCAACAGCCTGACCGGGTCTAGGCACGTGGGGAGGGGCGGGTGCTCTCTAACCTCTCTGCCCCAAGCCCTCCTGAGACCCGCCCCTCCCCCAGAGCCAGGGCCCCTGCGGAGGCTGACCTTGAACCTGCGGGCCAGGAACTTGTTCTTCATCTCCAGGTAGTTGCCCTTGTGGATCTCGGACTTGAAGGGCTCGTTGAGGATCATGTACCTCGGGTCGTTCTGGATGTCCTGCCAGCGGGCGTAGCCGTGCCTGGGTGGCACCGTTAAGGGCAAACCTAGCTGCTGGAAGGGGGGGGGCCCTGGCAGCTGGGGCAGGGGGCAGGGCCTGCCCGGGGTCCAGCACCCTGGCTGTGTCATCAGCCAAGTCATCAGCCTCGTGGCAAGATGAGCACACTGATGACGATGACAGCGGGAATATCAGCAGGCGCTGACAGGCGTCCTGGGGCGCCAGCCACGGCACTGGGGCTTCGCGGGGCTGACTCCTTCACCCCAACTACAGAGGGGCGGAGACAGTCAAGTCCGAAGCCCTGGAGCCCGGGAATGGGACCCGATTTGGAGATGGGGTCTCCGCAGACGTAATCCAGTTACGAAGACGTCACACAGGGTTCGGGTGGGCCCCAAACCCTATGACTGGTGTCCCTGCAGGAGGGAAAGCTGGACAGACGCAGAGACACAGGGAAGAGGCCAGTCAGGAACCCCCCTAGAGCCTTCAGGGGCCCTCCCTGAGGTCCGCCAAGGAACAGGCAGGAGCCTGCCCAGCCCGGCTCGGCCAAGGATACGTCACGATGCCGGCCAGCAGCCAGTAGTCATGGCGCCGGTGCCAGATGTCGTAGATTTTCCCCGAGGACACCGCCGCACGCTCCTCGTTCTGCCACAGCGTGTGCAGCTCTGGGAAACAAACCAAGGTGAGCAGAATGAGAGATGCTCTCTAGGCTTTCAAACAGAGGTGGGCCTGGGGGAGAACCTCTTCCCTCACTCCTTGCCACTGCCCCGCCCCTGGCTGGAGGTCTGGTGTTGCTAAGAAAGGCTATATAATGGATTCTTTTTTAAAAAATCAACCATTCACACTCTAGTATAAACTAGCCATCCGCCCCGACTCCTGGAACCCACAGTCAGAAAACCCGTGACATTAACAGTCCCAGCGCTCTGCCCATCGCCCACTCTGGTACCTGTGAAGCCCCCATCTGCAATGTTGAACATGAATTTGAACTTCCCGTTCTTGTCCTCTTTCTGCCCCTCCTCATTTTCCTCTTTGTCCCCATTTTGCTGTGTGTCGATGAGCTCCTTCTCCTCAGCCTTGGTGTCATCTGTGGGGGCAGAGGTCACATTCATCCATCCACCGAAAAGGCACAACCCAGGGGCCTCCCTCTGTAAGCACTGGGGACCCAAGGCATGCAGGACACACACTCCCTTGTCCTAAAGGGGCTCACCGCCCAGAAGGGTTTCAAATGACAAACCGGCAGCCCCTTCTCTCTGTCCTGAGCAGACCCCAGTCCCCTCCCCCACCACATCAGGGCCACCGGCCGGGCAGGGAAGCACTGTGGAAAGTATAGCTCAAGTCCACGGATGGCAGAGCCGCCTCAGAGATTTGATCCCAGGATGACTGTTCCAGAACATTCTAGCCCCTAGAGGTATATATGCAAAGCTTCCAGCTGAGCCCCCTATACCCCAGGCCAAGCTCTATGACCAGCCCTCCCCCTTTCCCTTGGTGGCTGGGCCCGAGGCCCACTCAGGGGACAGGAGGGGGAGTCTGTCCCCTGAGGGGAAAGAGCTACCCGGCTCCCACCCACCAGCTCCAACCAGGGCCTGGGGCCTAGAGGACAGAGCTGGGAGGCTGCAGGAGGCTGACCGGGTCCAGAGGGCGCCCTCGAGGGAGTGGGCAGAGCACAGGCAAGAGCCCCAACCTGGCCTGAGGTCGCCGCTGTCCCCTCTGCTGTGGATCAAGCTCAGCTCCAGCTTGTCCAGGATTTTCTCCTTCTCAGGAAGTGCTTCTTCTGCAAGACGAAGAGGGTTCAGGGCTGGGGAGGGGACTCTGGGCTGGTGGCTTTCCTTCCAGTGCTGCTGTGGCCACACGCAGAACCTCATCCACCAACGCGTTACTCGGAGTCCACTTGGAGAGGCCCTGGCGGGCAGGGCCGAGGGCCTGGACACCCCCCGACTGACCCCTACCCCCAACTCCTCAAGGCCTGTCTCCACGTCCTGCCACTGCAATGACAGCCAGAGGGCTTGCAGTTCCAGCAACACAGTGAGCCTCTGTTACTGCCACACTCCACTTCAAAACACCCAGAACTGCTGGGCAAAACACACTGCATTAATAAGCACACAGGTGAGCTTCAGAAAAGAACAGGAAATCATCGGCTGCCAGGAACAAAGAGGATATTTAATGGAAGGAAGCCTAAGTTGGCATCTGGTGGCCCCAGGCGGGGGGTGGCCTGACACCAGGATGACGCGGAAGGCCTGGAACTCCCGGCTGGGTCTCAACACCCAGGCAGGACAGACGAGGCCTCGAGCCCGAAAGACGCAGAGAGCTGGGATTAAGCCAACACCCGCCAAGGCCCTGGTCCCTGCGAAAGAGAGAAGGTTCTGCCTGCTGGCCTGAGGAGGCCTGTCTCCCGCAAGGGATCTAGAGGAAGAAAGTCCCCAGTGGGGACTCCAAACCCAAGGCTGAGACCTGCTCTGCACCACCCCTGGCAGACAGCATGGAGCAACGGGTCCTAGACCAGCAAAACGGTCCATGCGACCACTGGGCCCTGAGCTTCTGGGAATAAAGGGCGAGGGACACTCCCACCACCAGGTGACGGGGGAGTCCTGCGGTTAAAACAGTCCCTGGGGAAGACGCGCCCAACCCAAACCTAGACAAAACAGGGATTCACCCACCGCGGGCAAGAACGAGCTGGCCACACGGAGACCAGTGTCCTGAGATGATGAAACAACGTCAAGGAGACTCTAAAATAAGTACATCAGGAGCCAATGAAGAGAGAGGGAGAAGAAAGGAAAAAATGAAACAAAACAACAACAACAAAATAAATTGGGAAAAGCCAGATAAAACTTCTAGAAAGAATACACAATCATTAACATTCCTTTAAAGCAGGGAGTTTTCCCTGGCTGGTTGCAGAAAAGGAAGGTCTGAGGCACGGGAGGGTTTCCGCTCACCAGTGCTGGCTTGAAGCCTGCGAGGGCCAGGTGCAGGAATGCAGTGGCTCCCAGGAGCTGAGAGTGGCCCCCAGCTGACAGCCAGCAAGGAAACAGGGCCGCAGCCCTCCGACCTCAAGGAACTCAATTCTGCCAACAAGAGTGAGCTTGGCGGTGGCTCACACCGGTAATCCTAGCACTCTGGGAGGCCGAGAGGGAGGATCGCTTGAGGTCAGGAATTCAAGACCAGCCTAATAAGCAAGAGTGAGACCCCGTCTCTACTAAAAACAGAAAACATTAGCCAGGTGTGATAGCTCACACCTGTAGCCCCAGCTACTTGGGAGGCTGAGGCAGGAGGATTGCTGGAGCCCAGGAGTTGGAGGTTGCAGTGAGCTACGATGAGGCCACAGCACTCTAGCCTGGGCGACAGAGCAAGACTCAAAAAAAATAATAATAATAAATAAGATAAAATAGTGAATTCCCCTACACACTGTTTACAAGAGATATGCCTAGAACATAATTACCCAGAGAGATTAAAAGTAAACGGATGGAAGAAAATATTTGCAAATCATATATATCTGATAAGGAACATGTATTTTATAAAGAACTCTTACAACTCGATAATAAAAAGAAAAATAACCCAACTTACAAAAGGACAAAAGATCTGAAAAGACATCTCTCCAACAAACATATACAAACGAGCTAACAGCGCATGAAAAGACACTCAGCATCTTTATGCACAAAGGAAACACAAATCCAAGCCACAGGGAGATGAGGCTTCTCACCCAGCACGACAGCTACCGTCAGGAGGACAGATGACAGGGAGCGTTGGCAAGGGTGTGGCCAACTGGAACCGCCACACACGCCGGCGGGAACGTACGCTGCGGCGGCACACGCGGAAAACAACTTGGCGGTTCCTCAAAATGGTAAGCAGTGGCCGGGCGCGGTGGCTCACCCCTGTAATCCTAGCACTCTGGGAGGCCCAGGCGGGCGATTGCTCGAGGTCAGGAGTTCGAAGCCAGCCTGAGCAAGAGTGAGACCCTGTCTCTACTATAAATAGAAAGAAATTAATTGGCCAACTGATATATATAGAAACAATTAGCCAGGCATGGTGGTGCATGCCTGTAGTCCCAGCTACTCAGGAGGCTGAGGCAAGAGGATCACTTGAGCCCAGGAGTTTGAGGTTGCTGTGAGCCGGGCTGATGCCACGGCACTCACTCTAGCCTGGGCAACAAAGCGAGACTCTGTCTCAAAAAAAAAAAAGGTAAACGGAGTTACCATGTGATCCAGCAATTCTACTCTGGGGTATACACCCAAGAGAACTGAAAACTTACGTCCACAGGAACACGTGTACACAAATGTCCACAGCAGCATGATTTACAGTTGCCAAGAAGTAGAAACAACCCACAATTCACCAGCCATGAATGGATACACAGAACATGGTAGATCCACACAGTGGAATACTATTTGGCCGTAAAAAAGGAATCGAGTACTGATACACTGCACAGCATGACGGAACTTTAAAGACATTTGCTAAGTGACAGAATCCAGACGCAAGAGGACCATATATTGCATTATTCCACTGAGAGGCCCCCGAGTGCCGGGGCTGGGATGGGGAGACGGCAGTGACTGCTAATGGGTAAAAGGTTTCCTTCTGCTGAGATGAAAATGCTCTGGAATTCGACAATAATGACAATTACACGACTCTGTGAATGTACTAAAGAAAAAGGAACAGTACACTTCAAGTGGGTAGGTTAACCGCAGGGGGTGGGAATTATATCACAACAAAGCTGGTTTTTTTTAAACAGGCATAGAGAAAAGTACACCAAATATATACTAAAGTAAGATCAACCTAAATCACCCAAAATAAACTTTATAGCAAAGAGTTTAAAAAGGGACAAGAGGGTCATTACAAAATAATTAGAGGCATATTTTGCCCAAAAAAAGAAAAAAATTATAAAAATCCTGAAGCAAAATCTGGCATTACCAGGAGAAAGAGATTAATCCACAATCCTGAGAGATTTTAACACGAGTCTCTCAGAGACCGACTGATCAAAACAAACCAAATACTAGTAGGAATGTGAAAGCTTAAATAACACGATTAATAAGCATTATCTAAATGCGCCATTGCATATGTTTAGAACCTTACGCCCAGCAATCAGAAAATACACATCCTTTTCAAACACACACGGAGCATTCGCAAAATCTGACCACATCAGGCCGGAAAGCAGCTTTTTTCAACAGCACCCTACAGACTCATGTCCTCAAACAATGATGCAAATCAGTTCAAAACCACTAATGAAAGAGCAGCCCAATAACCGCTAATCTGCATGGCCGGAAGAATTAAAGTCCACACGGAGAGGCCGGGCGAGGTTTGGGCGAGGTGGCTCACGCCTGTAATCCTAGCACTCTGGGAGGCCGAGGCGGGCGGATTGCTCAAGCTCAGGAGTTCGAAACCAGCCTGAGCAAGAGCGAGACCCCGTCTCTACTATAAATAGAAAGAAATTAATTGGTCAACTAACATATATAGAAACAATTAGCCAGGCATGGTGGCGCATGCCTGTAGTCCCAGTTACTCAGGAGGCTGAGGCAGGAGGATCACTTGAGCCCAGGAGTTTGAGGTTGCTGTGAGCTAGGCTGATGCCACGGCACTCACTCTAGCCTGGGCAACAAAGCGAGACTCTGTCTCAAAAAAAAAAAGGTAAACGGAGTTACCATGTGATCCAGCAATTCTACTCTGGGGTATACACCCAAGAGAACTAAAAACTTACGTCCACGGGAACACGTGTACACAAATGTCCACAGCAGCATGATTTACAGTAGCCAAGAAGTAGAAACAACCCACAATTCACCAGCCATGAATGGATACACAGAACATGGTAGATCCACACAGTGGAATACTATTTGGCCGTAAAAAAGGAATCGAGTACTGATACACTGCACAGCATGACGGAACTTTAAAGACATTTGCTAAGTGACAGAAGCCAGACGCAAGAGGACCATATATTGCATTAGTCCACTGAGAGGCCCCCGAGTGCCGGGGCTGGGATGGGGAGACGGCAGTGACTGCTAATGGGTAAAAGGTTTCCTTCTGCTGAGATGAAAATGCTCTGGAATTCGACAATAATGACAATTACACGACTCCGTGAATGTACTAAAGAAAAAGGAACAGTACACTTCAAGTGGGTAGGTTAACCGCAGGGGGTGGGAATTATATCACAACAAAGCTGGTTTTTTTTTAAACAGGCATAGAGAAAAGTACACCAAATATATACTAAAGTAAGATCAACCCAAATCACCCAAAATAAACTTTATAGCAAAGAGTTTAAAAAGGGACAAGAGGGTCATTACAAAATAATTAGAGGCACATTTTGCCCAAAAAAAAGAAAAAATTTATAAAAATCCTGAAGCAAAATCTGGCATTACCAGGAGAAAGAGATTAATCCACAATCCTGAGAGATTTTAACACGCGTCTCTCAGAGACCGACTGATCAAAGCAAACCAAATACTAGTAGGAATGTGAAAGCTTAAACAACACGATTAATGAGCATTATCTAAATGCGCCATTGCATATGTTTAGAACCTTACGCCCAGCAATCAGAAAATACACACCCTTTTCAAACACACTCGGAGCATTTGCAAAATCTGACCACATCAGGCCGGAAAGCAGCTTTTTTCAACAGCACCCTACAGACTCATGTCCTCAAACAACGACGCAAATCAGCTCGAAACCACTAATGAAAGAGCAGCCCAATAACCCCTAATCTGCATGGCCGGAAGAATTAAAGTCCACACGTAGAGGCCGGGCGAGGTGGCTCACGCCTGTCATCCTAGCACTCTGGGAGGCTGAGGTGGGCGGATTGTTCAAGGTCAGGAGTTCGAAACCAGCCCGAGCAAGAGCGAGACCCCGTCTCTACTATAAATAGAAAGAAATTAATTGGCCAACTAATATATATAGAAAAAATTAGCCGGGCATGGTGGCGCATGCCTGTAGTCCCAGCTACTCGGGAGGCTGAGGCAGGAGGATCACTTGAGCCCAGGAGTTTGAGGTTGCTGTGAGCTAGGCTGACGCCACGGGACTCACTCTAGCCTGGGCAACACAGTGAGACTCTGTCTCAAAAAAAAAAAAGAATCGTCACATGACCCGGCGATTCATTTCCCGGGCATAGACCCGAGAACCTACGTCCACACAGGGACTGAAGACACAGCTGCTCATGGCAGCATCTTTTGCAAGGAGCCCTGCAGTAGGAACCACCCAAAATCTACCCCAGACGGATGGGTGCACAAAATGCAGCAAACACATGCAATGAATGTCACTTGGCCACAGGGAGGGACGAGGAGCTGACACGTGATAGAGCGTGGACAAGCCCCGGGACATCGCTCAGAGAGAGACGCCGGACAGAACAGACCCCGAGGCGCTCGGCTCCGTCTATCGGAAACGCCAGAGGGGCGATCCGGAGAGGCAGAGAGTGGACCCGAGACTGCCCAGA